ACGCATGGCTATACTGCACTTGATATCCGTGGTTTGCTTGAGCGGTTGAAATCATTTGCTTCCCCTATTTCTGCAGACGGGATTTCGGGACTTTCTGGACAACTGATGTAATTAGCATTTATTTTTAAATTACTAAATTATCTTCTAAAGAAGCACGGAAATTTTGAAGTGATTTTAATATTCATGATCTTAAAAATAATTATTTTATTATTATTTTTAATTTTTTTACTCATTCTTGTTGGTGATTTTCAGTTTCAATAAAAATTGAAAGAGTGTGAAAAGGGAGGAGAAAGTTTAAATCGTGGTACTTTGTACAATATCCGCACAATTAATTAATAATTACATCGTGGACACACAAGAATGACAGCTAGTGATGCCATTTGGAGCTGATCCTGTACAAAATAAATTTTATTCAATTTAATTAACACAGACAATTTAAATTTTCATTAACTTTTCTGGCCAAGTCTAGCATACAACCCACAACTCCCTGGTGGTTTTTTTATGTAAAATTCTTGCACTAATGTGGTAAAATTAACCAGAAAGAATATAATGTTGACGGAATTAATGGTTAAGTTTTTCCTGCTCAATTCACTATTGATTTTCGTATTGAAATTTATAGATGATTTTTATAATTTCTACGATTTTTAATTTAATTCGTTTCTCTCTATTCCTCCCCCTGGATGCACACACGTATCTGACCAGTCAGCTGGGAAATAAAACTCGCCTCCAACCACTGTGCTCCCAACATAAAATTTCATAAAAATTAACAAATAAATGAAAAAACAATGAATAACAATGACAGAGGTCCCTACAGGATTAAAATTTAATACTCAACATACATTCAATGGTTACCCTGAGCAATAGGGTCGAGTTCAGTCGCAGTTTTTTGCCGCTACAGGGACTGATATTTCCAGGGCGCAAAGCCTTTTCCCGGGGATGAAACAACGCTTTAAAAGAATAATTAAAATTCTTTTATTTCTGGAATTTTGATTTTTCAATAAAAATAAATGTAACATGAAATATTTAAGAGCTAAAAGCAGTAAAAAGTTTAATTTTTTTTTATTAAACAAATACTATTTTTTTTTTTTAATTTATAATACGATAACAAGATTGAAATTCAGCCATTAAATTTCTTACAATTAAAAAAATTTATATTTCACATTAACAAATTTTTATAGCAGATAAATAAAACTACATTTCAATTTTTATTTCATTTCCAAATGAAAATTTTCTTAAACTATTCCTAAATAAAAAATAAGGTGCGCAATTTGAATCAAGCGATTTCAGTAGTCAAATGTCAGAGACAACATTGATCGGATCGTAAGAGATCAGAAAATGCATTCATTCATCTTTATTATTTCAAGAGCGTGATAGCTGTGAGCAATTATCATCTTCCTGAACATATCAAAAACATGTGGTTATCAAGTGTTTACATAGGAATCTGATCTGAATTAATATTCTACGAAAAAATGTTCCATGATGTGCACGAATATTTTTAGTGTGAAATTTGCCATTTGTTTTTGAATAAAAACCATTTTCGCAACAAGTAAAAGGCATGATCATCTCCTCCAGTGTAAATTTCTTAAAAAAATTATAATTTTTTGAGTGCGTTTTAATTGTCGTACACAGATTTTACTGCACCGCCGAGATATTAAAAACAAACAAATGAATTTTATTAAGTCTTTATCAAGTATTGCATTTTTTTATATGTTATTTGGGTCCTGATAAGGTTAATATAATTATTTAATAAGTTAAGGCCCATCGCAGAGAATACTGGCAATATTCACAAATGTGGACAAATAAAAAATATTTTTAATGCATCAAACTAGAATTCTGGATAAGGCTAAGTCATTTTTTGACGTTTCTAACAAGTGTGGAATTGTATTGTTGTCAGATTTGGAATTTTCGGAGGCACTCTTGCTATTATTATTAGAAGTGGCTTCAAAACAAGCGGGCGTGCTAGTTGCAAGTACATGTGACGTCAGCGGTCCCGTTGCAGGCAGATACATACATTTGAGTGACGAGAATGTGTTGTTGCCGACGCCGAGGGCTGCGGCGGCGAGCCGGCTGCAGCTTCTACGAGGACAAAAACACTGTCCTCCATTTCCATTATTGTTCCGCACGCACCTGCCGACGTCGCTCAATTGCTTCTTTTAAATGATTTAGCTCCTTTTCCCTTTTGCTTTGAAGATTGAAGTCACATTAGTTAGAAATGTTTTCGTTATCAAATTTTTATTTATTTATTCTTAATTACCAAAATATATTTCTACTAAAACGGGGTCTGCACGATTTGTTACGATTCCATTGATTCCTGTCTTGTAGGCCATATTTGCGTCTTTCCAGAACCACAAAGAAAACTTGTCCAAGCATTTAAATTTATGGCCGATTAAAATTTGGACGGAAATTGTAATTTCGTCAAAAAACTCAAATTCCGATTATTTCCGAAGTAATGTGGAAATGATTTTTTCCGCTTTTCATCACATGAATTTGACTGGTAAAAATTCAGCTTTCATGGAAGTTTTTCTAATTGTAAGTCAAAACGTGACTAGACTGGACTAAACAGATTTTCAATTACTTTTAGGGAACTCACAGACTTTCCTTATAAAATTAGCGATCAAAAAAAGCCACCAGTTGCTAAATCAGTCTTGACTCTGTGAGCTTCAATACCTGCAATGCTCTCTTCAGTGATCGAGACATAGACATTTAAAGTTTGCGTTTTTTTATTTAAATTGCAAGTTAAAACAGTTTAAGCGAGAGCGGACTTGGGCAGTGAATAATAATTCTTAATTAGCATTAACGATGTTTCATTACAAAACTCGTTTGCAAATTAGTAAGAAAGCAAAATTTATACAAATTAGGCAAAACTCGCTGTGCTCCAGCCCACCTTGCATTCAAAAATTCTTTAAATTTGAGCAAAATTTTAGACAAAAACATCATAGCAATATTCTCTATTATATATACCACTCTAAAAATGTTTGTGCATTAGGAAAATAATTTTAATTGAAATTTAAAAAAAATTGTAATTGCATTAAATACTTCACACTAAGCTTGACTTCGATTGTGTTTCATGTAATTTATCGAACAATTGTGACCACATTCACAGAAATCCTTGCAAAGGACAAATTAAAAAAAAAATATTATCGTCTTTGTTATACAAGAATTGACAATTCAATATTATTTTATTCTCTCACAAGTTGACATAATATTAGAGAAGACAATTTTTTTATTAAATTTTTAAATTTTAGATCGGCTAAATTTCTATCTGTTTTGGGACAGGGCTAAAAAAGTACTTGACTAAACAATGCACTGACCTAGTTTGATTCTTGCGATCACCATTGCAGATTTTCCACGAGACTCGTTTTGAGCCCGGCATAAATTTGAAAGTGAAAATGCGTTCACATAAGTTCAGCAGTCGACAAAGAAACAAATTATTGTTCAACTCGGATACAATTTATATAAGATTAATTAAGACTCGTCGCGTTATCCGAGCTGGCACAAATTTGAATTGCCTCTTTATCACTTTTGTTTTCATAATTACCGCAGTGTTGGAATTCAGTGCTATTATTTTTGTTGTTCATTCTTCACTAATCAAGTCATACCAAAAAAAAAAGAGAGATAAGCCAAACCAGACCATTGGCCTAGCGGTTCAGGTGCTTGCATTTGAATCAAATTTTTTACTATTGAAATAAGATTATTTGATCTTTTGGAAATCGCGATGTCAATTCAATTATTGCCTCGAAGAATTGAATGTTTCTGTTCAGACAATAATTTAAATTTGTTTATTCTCTCAAAACAGTTCAGACAGGTTATTTGAAAATTCACATTAAAGCTAATTAATTATGCACAGTTTTAAAATAATTTGCCAGTCGTGGGCTTTGATTTCAGAAATTTGTGGCTCCATGGAAAAAAATCATGACGAGGTGATAAACTCGTGCTCACAACTCGATTTGCAGACAAGTTTGCAACCTCCAGGTAGGAAAAAGGGCAGCGTTTGTGAAGGGTTTCCTGCCACTTTTTTGTCCTCGACCTTTCTGGACACCCCTTGACCGCGGTTTATCAAAAAATAATCTTCGACAAAAGATTTCAGGGTGAGTTGGTTCAAAATATAAATAGGCTGAAATAATTTCTATTCGTAAAAAATTGGAAGAATCTCTGATAAGGAACGATGAGCTTAAGTCTTTTATTGGTTCTTAGATAGAATTGTAAAAAAAAATAATGACGTTGTGCCATTGAGAATTTGACAAAAGCTTCCCTTGAGTTGGGCAAAGATGCAACTGATGTGCTCATGAAACGTGAAAAATTTGGTCCGGCTCAGGGTACTAATCAGGACAACATTTTGTATATTTTATTTGGAAATATTTTTACCGATTGAAAAAGGGGCAAGTTACGATTTGCAACCTGCACATTTTTTCATCTCCGCCAACCGGCCCTCATTCTTTATTATTATTATTATTATTGTAGCAAATGTGACAGCCATCGCCACTACGAAATATAAAGCTTAAAACCTTTTCCCAATTTGATTTGTCAAATCCTATAATATGTAAATTCGCCAAATAATAACAGACCAATAAAGTCGAACTAATTTTTTTTGCCGCATAATAATAACAATAATATCCTGAATAATGAAATATCATCTTCTCAGATTGCAATTGCATTATAACTTCTCATGCGAAGAAAAAAATATTTATGTAATTTTCATTATTCTTACACCAACGTAATTAACAGAAGCTAACCATAAAATTTGAAATTGCTCGTAAATGGCAGCCTAAGCGAGTTGAAATCAAAAACAATTCGGCCAAATCAAAATGCCGATTATCTAGAAAGCTTAAACTTGGAATAATTATTTAGCTGAGAGGCGACGTTTGGGCCGTTTTGGGTTGAAAATTTTGCGTTGTGGCTTCTCCAGCCGCCACTTAATAGGCGAAGAAAAGTGGGAGGCGCCGCACCGAATGTGGCCGTCATCGCGATGCAAACACGATTATGAACGGAATTGAGCTCACCTGCTTGCGAGGTTGTTGGATTCTGCATAATGCGACACCTTGGACGCTCACAAATCCATTTCGGGGCACGATCAGGTCGCACTGGTGCCAAAATCGGTGCGTCCGCGACTCGGGCACACAAAATCCCAAGACCTTGAGGGTTGCGACTGGCTGGCGATGGCTGTGATTTTTCTTCTTCTCGGCCCGACCGACTGCGGCTAGATGCTGGTCGCACTGAACAAATCGGACACGCAAAGTACGCGAAGCTGGCACTTGGACACACTCACGAGAACATACTAGTCGGTTAATTGCAGGGGTTTTCGCACCGCTTCCAGCACTGACACATCCCGGTGTGGTAAGAACACGAAAATACAGCGCAGACTGATTTGGACGGCGAGAACACAGCAATATGGCCGACTTGTTTCTGTGTGGCACAGGCAGGGAAATATGTGATTTGACCCTGAGGACTAGCGGGTCCGGATAACGCCCGCTCATTGGTCCGTACGTTGCCAACTCACGCGCTCATTGGTTGCCGCCCCGGGCTCCGCAGCTTTTGGTTGCGCCCGCCAGGGAGCGAATACAAACGTAAACATGCAATGCGCTGCTCAATCTCCGCTGCTGGGCAGGCAGGCCATGCTCGCCATCTATTGGTTGAAGAAGCAAAAATATTCAGAAAAATCTGGCTTTCTTTTATTTAGATCTAAATTTAATAATTTTTCAATTTTTTCATGTATTTTTGCCTGTAGAGTGACATAGAATTCATTTAATTTTTCTTTAATTTAGTTTTCTTGTTATCGTTAATTCTGGTTAATTCCCTTTTTCTGCGTACAGTTAACTTAAAAGTTTGTTCCGCGGTTTGTGGTAGCACTGCTATTGCGAACATAACAATAACAATACATCAGCTGCTTGCGAATCTTGAATCTTGCCTTTTTTCCCTTCAAACTTGCCTGCCAAAAAGCCGAAGCCTGAAAGAATTCCAGATTCAAGTCTGACCAAAGTCTATGTAAAAGTTAGTTATCTTCCTAGTTGGAATTTTAGTATATCATTTTCATTTTTTTGTGCTCATCTATAATGTTTTTGTTTGAAGAAATTGATTGGCTTTCAAGAAGATTATCGTGCAAGTGAAGAACTCGGGCTTTTTCCTAGTTGTGTTTTTTTTTTTTAAACAAGACGGCTGTACAAGTTTCAGGTCACGGTCCACGACCCTCTATTTCTTGAGCAAACGCGCTGCTCGGCGTCATTTTGTTTGAATAAAAACCATTTTTACAACGAGGAAGAATTGCAAGATCCAATAATAATTTTTATTTATGTAATATTTTAGAATTTGCATATAAATTTCTGAACTACATACATTTTTTTAACACCTTTATCTATCGATCCAGAATTATAAATTTTTTTCTCCCTCTGCTCCTCTCAGGAAGCTGCTGGAGAATGATCGTCCTTGGCATGGAGGGTAGTGCTAATAAAATTGGTGTGGGAATAATAAAAGACGGCGTCGTCTTGGCAAATCCAAGAAGAACTTACATCACCCCACCAGGAGAAGGTAAAATAAAATAAAATACAATTTTATTCAAATTAATTACTATGCATTTAAGAGCTTTCATCGAACAAAAATTTGATCTTGCAGGATTTCTTCCTCGGGAAACAGCTAAGCATCACAGGGAAAATGTGTTAGCGCTGATCAAACTGGCTTTTAAAGAGGCACAAGTTTGTTTGCATTTTCTTAATTTGTTAAAAATTCAAATCGTAATTATATTTTCTTTTTTTAGATCAGTCCAGATGAAATCGATGTAATTTGTTACACCAAAGGCCCTGGAATGGGTGCTCCATTGGTTGTTGTCGCTGTCGTTGCTCGAACTTTGGCACAGTTGTGGAACAAACCCATCATTGGAGTCAACCACTGTATTGGACGTATCCTTTTTCTTCCAAAATGAAAAATATTTTTAGAATAATTTACAAAAAACATATTTTATGCTGTTTCCCTTAACAAATCTCCTATAGATATAGAAATGGGCAGGCTCATCACTGGTTGCAACAATCCAACGGTTCTTTACGTCAGTGGAGGAAACACACAAGTAAATTTATTTTGTTTTCCTACGTTTTATTAGTTGTTTAAATTTCTCAGTCAGCAGATTGAGAATTTTTACTAAAACTTTAATCCGCTTGCAGGTCATTGCGTATTCAGAGAGGAGGTACAGAATTTTTGGTGAGACAATCGACATTGCTGTTGGAAACTGCCTAGACAGATTTGCTAGAGTACTGAAGCTCTCGAATGATCCCAGTCCTGGGTACAACATAGAGCAGGCAGCAAAAAAGTAAGCATATTTAGATGCAGAAATGTTTTTTTAATCAAACTGATGTTTTGGCTTTAGGGGAAAACGCTTTTATCAACTCCCGTATGTTGTGAAGGGAATGGACGTGTCATTCTCAGGCCTCTTATCTCACATTGAAAAACAGGCTCCCAAACTCATCGAGAGTGGTGAATACACGCCTGAAGATATGTGTTATTCACTGCAAGAAACTGTTTTTGCCATGCTGGTTGAAACAACAGGTGATGCTCAATTGAATTGTCTTAACTCCTTTATTCTGAAATACTAAAGCAAATAGCATCATAAAAAATGCAAAAATTTATTATGTAAAAATTTTAAATTGAAGCTACTGTTGATTTTTGTTTTCTAATTCGCAAAAACAAATTGTTTTATTTGGCAGAAAGAGCCATGGCTCACTGTGGATCTCAGGAGGCACTGATTGTTGGTGGCGTTGGGTGCAACGAGAGACTCCAAGCCATGATGGCAATAATGTGCGAAGAGAGAGGAGCAAAGATGTATGCCACAGATGAACGGTTTTGCATTGATAATGGAGCCATGATTGCCCAAGCTGGTTTCGAAATGTTCAGAGCAGGAATTACAACAAAGTGGGAAGAAACAAAAATCACACAGAGGTAGGAAACTAATATACTCACGTGATTCCCGTTTTTATCTAAATTTTATTTCAAAATAGTTAAAAAAAATTCAATGAAAGAACAAATATTATTCTGGCATAAGAAAAAAAGGCACTATAGCAAAAAAATTGGATAATAAGAAATTCATGATCATTAAACTAAAACATCTCAAACAATCTCAAAGCTTAAGGAAAAGTAGTTGATTGAGTAAAACTCGTAACCCTTCTTCTTTTCTATTTTTCTGCAACGAAAAGTAAAAATGCAACAGGCTTTTTAGATGCACCTTCTGCGCCACTATAAAATGGCATAGGCTGTCTTGGCCTGACAATTAGGCCTGACTCTAAAAAAATATTTATTATTGCTTCACACACCATCGGTCTGTCCAGCTAGCTGGACGGTTGCGACTTGGTTCCTGAACTCGCATAAATTGCAGAAGCAACGATGCGTTTATTGATCTAGATTATTAACAACAAAAATAAAGCATAAATTTTACTGTTTTGTTTTACCAGTATGCAATTTTTTTGCAGATACCGCACGGATGAAGTTGAAGTTGTATGGAGAGACCAATAATTTTAAAATTAATTTAAACAAACTGAAACAAAGTTTTGTGAGGTTTAAAACCAGGTTTAATAAACCTTTGCATTTCCTACTTCAAAGAATTTTTAATGTGTTCTAAGAAATCTACGGATTTACTTTTTTTATTTCATTATTTAAAAAAATTGTTTGCATTGCTTATATTAATTGATTAAGTATTAAATTATCGTGCCACACAGTGCAATCTACACGTTTGCAATTTAGTAAAAAAATTAACAAACAAAAGGGAAGGCACCAGTACTATCAGTCTAGAGGGCCAAAGTGGTGCATTATAGCCCGCAATGACCGCGCGCACTCATGCGTGTTTCCGTTTCCTTTCGTCAGCTCTAAACCTGGTCCCACCGTTGGTCCCACCTCATCAGTCCAACTCCGCAAGCGTCAGTAGTCCGCAGCAATCTGCATTTGCCTTGCCTAAAATCATGTCAACGCGTGGAGCTACCGTCTATGGGGTGCTACTTTTGTTTTTCAACACATTGTTTTTGGTAAGTATAAGCTTAATTCAGAGTAATTATTATAAAATAATATTGCTCTTTTTGCTCACAATTTCACCTGACACATTTATTATTTCGGCCAGCGCTTTAGTCCGCCTTATATGTAGCTCATTGTTCAATGTGCGGCAAGTCAAGCGTATAGTATGATTGAATCACACAATTCTCCTCTTGAATTGAAAAACAGAAAATATGTTTTACTGTCGCATTGTTTATTATTCAAAAATAAAGTCACAATGGAGAAATAAAAATGAAATGTGAATGAAGCAATGTCGACAAATTTGCTAAAACCTGGACCTAAAAAAGGTCCATGCTAAGAGATGGGAGGACGGAAACCTAATTGAATAAAACTAAAAAAAAAAAAAAAAAAAAAAAAAATGATGATAACGAAATTTATTTGTTATTCTTTTCAAATGAAAAAGAGGGAATTTTCATCAGAATTAAGCTCCAAAAAAACACTCTGAATCTAAATCCAAATATCAAAATTTGAATTGAATTGAAAACCACCAAGAAAAGCACAAAACACGCAGACCACCCCCTTTATGAAGTTAAATGCGCAGAATAGGAAAGAGATAGCGTGAATTGACTAAAAAATAAATCTTCAGTGATTTTTGTTTCTTCTCATTTTAGGCTAGTGGTGGTGCACTCGTGGTTTTGAGCGCGCTTCTCCTTTCTGATACGGAAAGGGTGCTCCTTTCGCGCCTTCTCCTCTTAAGCCCTGAAGCCCAGCGGTCGTACTACCCTCCTTTCTACTACGCAGCCCTTGCTATGGGATGCACTGGTTTAGCTGGCTGTACGACTGCCTTCCTTGGTTACTGGGGTGCTTGTCAGAAGAGAAAAGGTCTTCTAGGCACAGTAAGTATAATTTTTCATTTCTATATCAAAAAAAGTTTCTCTGGCGAGCGCTCCGCGCCTCCAGCCCAAAGCTCGCATACTCGTAATGAAGTATTATAATCTTCTAAAGGAGTTTTCTACAAATAATGAAGTTTTGCCGGGTAAAGTCGTCCCCATTAAAAGTAAAAATTTTGCATATATAATAGACTGGTGTTGCCAGATTTAAAAACGATTTCATTATTGATGCAATTCTCACCCTGAAACGGAGTTATGGAACGGGATTCCGAAATCGCTGTAGTTTGACCCAAATGACATAAATAAATTCAAGAAAGCAAATATTATAATTATTATATTGTGTTTGTTCTTTTCTAGTTGATTGGTTTGCTTGCGATTTTGCTGCTAGGCCAAGCAGCTTTGGTGATCGTGCTCTGCACCCTGCCAGTGGGGGCGAAGACCCTGTTTGGAATCGGTGGCATTTTGGAGTCGAAAACTCTCACCGAAGTCCTGCAAGTCAATTTTGGATCTCCTGGACACGAACTTTTCACAGCCGCATATGATTTGGCACAATATACGGTAAACATATATTTGATATATTTTGAATTTACTCAAATATTGCTCTTTGTTTTCAAACGTTTTTATATTTGACGAGAGGAATAAGGAATAAGCCAAACTTTTCATTAAATATTATGGTTATGGAGGTGTTATTATTATTATTGATTTTTAAAATACTCGAGATAAAGATAGATAGTGAAATAATGGATGCGCTCATCAATATTAAGCAGTCGCGCTCAATGGAATATTGTGCCCGCACTTAAGTTTTTGAAAAAGTTTGTCTAGTCAAACAAATTTTTCGATATAAACCATCTGCAATTGTAAAGTACAAGATTAGCTTAAGCAAAAATGGTTTCAATTTTGAAGTTTGGAATATAAAGTCGGCTTTTGGCTTTTCCTAAATTCAAATCACCATAAATCAACCTTCGATCGTGAAATTCTACCACAAAATTTTAAATTTTTTTTTACTAAAAACACTATATTCTCCAATTCTCTTTTATAAATAATTGAACAAATTTGGAAATATTTAAAAATTTGATTGAGCGCAAAATGAGTGCTTCGCTCAGCAAACAATGCCCTGCAATTGGAATTTCAAAAATTGTGCGGAAGCGCTCATGATGTCATTAATTTATTTTAAAAGCGTTTATATATTCAGATTATTTAAAATCCTTTTAATATAAATATTTAATAAAATAAAGATTTTGTACGTTGGAACATGGCGGCTAAAAATTAAAGGTAAATAAAATAAAATTAAAAAATTAATTATATATTTCACAGTTTAAGTGTTGCGGCGTTTTGGGGTCAAGCGACTATGAAGCTTCTTGGTGGCGGATGCAAGAGTTAGGGAGCAGAGAGATGAGAGTGCCATTGACCTGTTGCTACCTGGACAATTTGTCCAGTGACGCGAGGGCATTCCTTGATCCAGTGCCTCACAACAATACAGTGTGCCAAGCCCCTGATGCTAAAGTAAATAAGATCGAGAGATTCCAACAGGTAAAGTTTTGAATTTAGCAAAACATGAGAAAATAAAAAATGTTAACTTTTGTATTCTTATTATTTTATAGGGTTGTTTGCCATCTCTAGAAAATTGGTTCACAACCCAGTGGACGTATGCTGCTGGCATAGTGGCCATCCTGTTTGGTCTGCAACTGTCCGTCTTCTTCAGCGCCATCGCCCTGTGTCGGCGCCTGCCATCAAGAAGGCGCCAGGCATGCGCCAACTCGTTATGAAGACAATCCCTCGGAGTCCCTTCGACGGCAAAATATGGGGACTCTGAGGGCCACTACCCAAGCAACAAGCCTGAGTACCAGTCTACACGTGGAGGCTGCACCCTGTCGAGGCAGGGCCGATGGGAAGTCGCCCGACAACCAGTGAGGAAACACATTGATTCTCACTGGGTTGTTCGAGCGACTCCAGCCACCTTGACGGGAAACCGAAATCCTTTGGGTCGGGGCAACGCGCTAAACTATTGCAGTCGTGGTAAGCCAAGAATAAAACGACCAGCGCCAGCTGTCCCCAGAGACTTGTTGGAGTACCAAGAAATGCTGCGCCGAAGTGCAATTTGGTGACAATGATCTTTAATTGGGGGTTTTTTTTATTTTTATAATTAACGTCCTTCAAAAAGGAAACTGCTGGAAGAAAATCAAATCGAGCAGACAGCGACCACATATTTAGAACAAAGCGGTTCTGTAATGCGCTAACCGAGAGAGCTTTTATGCGCTAAAAACACCGCTCATAGCGCGATCGTACCCTCACTAAAACACAATTCCGTAAACTCATCACAGAATTACAATAAGCAATATATAAACCATTTTTAAGTACTTCTCATGTATCAACCGTTCTAAACAAATTATTTATCAAGAAAACAGTTCTTTTATTTTCTGACAATATAATCAGCATGCACTCATTTTAAATCATACAAGCTGAAAGCCAAGAAAAACTCAAATTTTATTCAATTAAGTTAAAATAGTTCAATGTCAAATTAAAATTTTCACAACCCAAAACAGTGCGCTTGAAACTTAAATACCATGACTGTTTTAGACTGATTCAGTGTTAAATAATTATCACGGTAAAAATCAGACATCAACGGTAATAATATAAATAATTTAGATCATTCATAATTTGCTTGCCCTTTCCTATTGTAAATCATTACTCGTGCTTTTAAATTGTGTATTTTTTTATTCTAGCACTTCATTTGATTAGCACTTCTTTAACCTATAAAACGATTAAGATCATTAAGATCTCATTGTTATTCTTTAACGAAGAGTGGAAAGGGCCGCAATTTAAATTAAGGCATATTTTTAGATTATTTTATGTCCAGGTTTCCTTCACCTGATGTAAAAAATGCTGTAATTTAAAGAATAATATATTATTTTGTGTCAACTTGTAATTAATTTATGTACGTGTTATCCCACACTCGTCCTGTATTTACTCTTGAACCAGAGAAAACGACACCTTGTTGGCAGGGATCGCCACAAAGCACTGGGCGTAATATGTGTTGAAATACAATGAACATGCGCGCAAAGTGTGAATATACGAGTGGGTAGCTAAGAAGTGCAACATACTTGTTTGTGAAAGTAATGGGCAAGAAGGGTGTCGAATTAAAAATGATCGCTAACGAATCATCATGGTGTAATTTTTATATCCGCATCATATAGCGAGAAAGACATTAGCACAGGCACCGCATCTCGTTGCGGGCTAGGCGAAAGAAAGGTGGCGCACACACTCGAGCAAGTCCTGCAAATAATCTTCTTACTTGCAATGACGGTTCCGCCAGTTTCGAGCAAGCATATCGGACGCCTTACAAGTTGCCTTCCAATTTAATCCAAATAATTCTTGCAAATAACTTAAGTATTCCTTAATGGCGATCAAATACAGTGGAATAAAATAAACATTGATTCCTCTGGATTTTTATATCATTTCTTGAAATGAAAATTAATATAATTTATCAAAATTTTTTTAATCAATTTTAATTAATTGGAAACCCCATAATTTTTTATAAAAATTGTGCAAAAATGCTTATTGATTCATGATCCGGCCCTCATTTTCCACTCTGGGCGTTTTAATGCCACAATAACCAGAATCAATCGCAAGCAAATTGTAAAGGGTTCCAATCATTATATTGCGAAGAGGAAATATCACACCACACTATGAGCGTTACTGCAACCTCTCCGCCGTGGCTACCAGATAGAATTGAATATTTCCTCGCGTCTGGAGACCTCGTCTGTGCCAAGCCAGAATCTAAAATTAGCATGGTGCGTGTGCATACAATGGGGAAGGGTGCGACTCTCTCTTTCTCTGGCGATGCGGCGCACGAAGCGCTCCCAAATATTCAAAACGCGTATAGCTGCAACCTTATTTTTTAATCCTCCACTTCCCAGGTCTCGGAAGTTAAATAATATTTCATGACGTCAGAGATCAGAACTTTAAAAAAACTTCTAGTTTGAATATATTTTTGAAAATGATTTATTTCTGCAAGTAAAAAAAAACATGGTTTTGCGAGCTTTTGCAATTAAAAAGCCTTGTCCTTAAAATTTTTCTTTTTCACAATCACTGTTGACCTCTACGCAAACTGTGTGTAATTTTACACCACTATAACATTAAGCAGGCTGCCTTCCATATATCAGATTATCACCTTCAGTTCAGATTCAAAAATATGTGTTCCATATAATACTCTATATAAATAATAAATACATCCCACTCTATTTGATTCATTTTTCCTCAACGCCAGTAATGCACCACCACATAATAATTGTTAATTATATTTGTGCTGCAAGCATGTTATTTTCTGATAAGAAAAATGAACTTGGCTTATCATATCATCAAAATTTATTTTCTCTTTTTAAACAACTGACCGACTAGCTGTGGCTACCGACTGAATTTCAACGAGAGGATAAGCCGGGACTTTTAACATCATTTTTTGTTTGACAGATTAGTTTGTGATAAAAAGCTGAACAAGTAATATCATTTTAGGCAAAGTATCAATATAATATTGATACTAGAAGTTTGTGCATGCAGTTGCTGGCCGTGTGGTGCATATATTCGTGTTCACCCCAATTTTAGTTCTGGGTGATGGGGATTCGAGCCTCGCCCGGTCCGAGAGCCGGCAAGGGAGCCTCAACCGTCAAAACTCCGTCCTTGCTAAGGGAGCTCTTGATGTCTTCCGGATTTGTACCCTTGGGAAGGAGGAACTCTCGGTTGTATTCACGGTACACACTCTTGCTGTCGGACTTCTCCTCGTGTTTTGCGTGCACCTGGAACAAAATTTCAGGCATTATTTTTATTGAGTAAATAATATTTTTTTTCTTTAGTGTTCCGTGAGAAATTTTTCAAATTTGGTTTGAGCAAAAAATTAGCGCTCTGCTCAGTGATCAATCAGTTCGCTCGCAATTTTCAAAAGTAGTACGCTTGTAAAAGTTATTTTTGAGCAATGCAGTTTTATAAAAACGAGATAATTTTTTCAAAACAATCTGGTAAATTATATATAATGGGTTTACAACTTTGTACGGCCGAATATTTTTTTTTATGCCAGACGTTTTAGCAGAACTGTCGTACCGTTTTCTTTTTTTATTTCCTTCTGTCTTTAAAAAGTATATAATGAGAATAATTATTAATTATGCTCTTGGACTTTTCTTATCAAATAAAACATCTCTATATACTCAATATCAATGTGCCAATTATATAAAACGGCCAAAGTCGTAAAAGCACTGCATGCCGCCTCCCCCCTCATTTAATACAATGTTTTCAAACTTTGCTCCGATTTGCATGCAACTGCATTATTAATAAAAGCACCGTTTTTATTTTATTGTACCATTATATTGCATGAAACGTGAGCGGTGAAAAAGGGAGAAACACGCAAACATGACGTGTAGCAAATTTTGCAGCCAACTTTAACCCTTTGAAGGCAAAGAAGCATTTCTTCAAAGATGGGCGAACGGTAATTTTAGACCGTGTGGCGGAATTCAAGTCCAAACCAGTGTACGTCGCCACAAAACCAGTCGAGTGCCAAGCGTTTTCTAGTAAAATAAATCTCGCGTGTGCAAATGAAGGAGAAAAAAGAGGCACAATAATATAAATGATTATATTAATCGATGATGTAATGATACATGTAGCAAAGAGAAAAAGAGAACATGCCCAACCTCTGAGATTAATTGATAAACAATATCAGGGTCAGCCGTCAGCCGCCCATCCTCTGGAGGACAACCAAAAAAATATATATTAAATCTCAAAACGTTCACCAAATTTGCTACAAGCGACCCTCTGTATTACTCTGTATATATATTATGTAAAAATAATTACAGACACTTCTATCACAATTTTAATCGGAACCCACTAAAAAATTATCCCGCAAAAAATTGTCATTTCACTTAAAAATGGAGTAACTTGCGGGAAAAAATAGATGCTTCCCTCTTCACAACCCTAAGGACTCCGAAATTTGACAATTGACTAATTTATTCTGATCCTTTTTGCCATAGCTGCAGCAATAAGAACATCTGCATAGATCAATTTGTATCATAAACCTTCTAAAAATCATCTGCCATTTTTTTTTTTACAATTCTGATTTTTTTTTGTATTTTGTTTTTGGTAATGTAATTTTATAATAAATGGTGAAAAAAGAATATAAAAATTTAATAGCCAAGACTATCCAAATGTTTTCAAAATATGAATGGAAATAATGTGATGTAACAATTTTACAAATAAACAACAATATGTGTCAGGAAAAAAATTGTTTAGAGGCTCGATTCTAATCCGCCTGTTCTCCACTCATTGACACCCACTCTGCGTCTTTAGATCTTGTTTTTAAGCAAGAGCCGTTTGTTTCATACGTGACGTGTTCAGGTCGTAGGACTCGTAGGTAGGCGTGAGGATGAGGAAGGAGGTGGGATGAGCTCCAGGCAAGGACACCTTCGTCACAGACCCTTATAAGGGCATGGGGAGAACACACTGGATTTACAAGCAAACGCTTTCGATTCTTTGATTCAGACATAAAATCCTCTGACAAAATAAGTGTTTTAAACGCAATATCTCCGAATTTGCAACTAAAGAATTAATTTCAAAACATAATTTTATTCAAGTACACACAAATAATGATAATAATTTCCTACTACTTTGGTCATTACCATGAAATATAAAAATTTTCAAAAGCTTCTTCAGAAATTTTAAATTATTATTACTAATAATAATTACCCGCTATTACATGAAACTTTTGAAATGACAAATTTATTAACTATATAATAAATTTAATTTATGAAATTTTGCTACATAAAAATCTAATTTTTATATAATTGATTATCTTACATTTTTTGTTTAAATGAACTTTGAACCCCTGCAAAATGATAATTTTTCAAAATCCTTTGGCACTTTATCTCCACGTAACTAAGATAATCAATGTGCTAAATGTTTTTGCTTATTATTGGATTTGTAGATGTCCAAAACGTTACAAAAAATTATTATTTCAACCCTAAAAGTCTGAACCCTGCAACTGATATGATATTAAAAATTACAAAAAAAAACTTAAAAAAAAAAACACATGAGATGCAATAATAAGATACTGATTTTTCTCAAATTTGATGTATTGAGATTAGATTGATTTTACTGGAGTTGGATTTCAAATAAACCAATAAAATATCACGTTTTAAACGCAAAAATTTCTAAATAATATTGCATGTCTTGCAATTCTTCTCAATGTATCATAAAAAGCTGTAAATTTTGGTCAGAAAATTTCCTCAATATTTCATGAGGACGGCAGAGGTCCTCATGAGTCCAAACTAGGCATAGAAATGATTTGTGTGTATAGATCAGAGGTGCAGACAACTTGTTTCTAGAAAAAATCTTTTAATTTTAATAAATTTCCGGTTGCGATTTGGGTTGAGCCGAGGATTTAAGGGATTATTATTAAATTTTGCGTTACTATGGTGCATAAAATTATTCTGAAGTCGAGTTTCATCTCTAAATAAAAAAAACTTGAAAAATACTGTTAATTCGTTTGATTTGTAATTTAACTCTACCTATATTTTCCTTTTGACCAATTTTAAATAAGGCGAATTTCATAAATCATCCATAAAATTTAATTTAAAAATTAAATACATGTTCGCACTTTGAATAAATTTATAGGAAAATATGTGTGGTACTCACCATCAGTTTGTTGTCGACGGTCTTGACTACAATCTCCTCTGGGGCGTACTGGCTGACGTCGAAGCGCAGCTTCAACATCTTGTTGTCGGCGCCGTCGGGCTGGATTAGCGGCGAGTCGAGTCCATCGAGCCAAGTCCTGACTTCGCCGCCACCAGTGCGTCCATCGCTGCTGGCCGTGGTGCTCGAAGATGAGCTTTAAAAGGAAAATTGATACCGGTGAGACCAGAGGGGATAAAAACAAAATGAAAATAATCATTCAAGCAATACAGAGTGAAATTAAATATAAAATAAAGCCTGTGGGAAATCATCGACTAGCTTGCGATGTATGCAAAAAGGATTTAATATATTTATAAAAGTAGTAAATTGTAAATAAAATTAAAATAAATTAATTGGAGATTCCTGGTTGATAAAATCATAGCCATGCAGTGAGAAGCTGAGCATGCACTTTGTGTGGAAACAATAAATGCGGGCGTTGTTGACCAGAAAATGCAAATATTGTTCCTAGCCAGTGGAATGGAGTAGCGGATGAAAGCCACACCTGTGGAAGGTAGAGGAAGTTGAGCTGTGCTCATCCTGCTTTTGGTGCGGAACAAATTTGCCGGGACCACTCCAATTCTTGATGCTCTCGCTGCTATGGCTTTGGTGACTTTGGCAGGTTAGTGCGTCCAGCAGGAAAGCGGGTTAAATCAATACTTTTTATTAGTAAATAATTCTGCTGCAATGAGTCATCATCGCATATATAATTCAATAAAAAAAATCCAACGGAAAATTAGTAAAATAAAGTTTTAAAAAATTGCGTGTGAGCTGTGAGCACCATCGTTATACACCAATTATAATAACAATTAGTTGTAAAAAAATCCACTTTACTTGATTTAATTGTGCTATTTCAATGTATTTGAATGGAGAATAAATAAATAAATAAAAGAATGGGCTGATTTTTTTATAATATTTATAATAATGTGGAATTTTTCAATTTTGCTTTTTTTTCATTTTTCTTGCTCATGAAAAAAGGTTGCAGACTGTGACCGAAACTGGTAGAGCCATTTGTATTTGAATAAAAAAAAAATTTCTGCAACGAGGAAAAGCCGATCTCTTCATTTCCATATATGAAAACATCTATTATAAAGTGGCGCATAAACTGGATGGGGCGCTGTTTTTGTTTGTTAGTCATTGTCATGGCCATTGAGGGTATTACCAAGTACTGCGCCTTTTATATTTCGGAAGTTTTTGCAAAATCCTGTAATTTTTTACTACAACTCCTTTTTTGAACAAATCGTTTTTAAATAGTGATTGAATATATGGAAGAGAAAAAACAAATAATATTAAAGACACTTCCAGTTTTAAAATTTATTTCTCAGTAATTATTTTCCTTGCGGATGGAATTTTTAATTTTAATATTTGTAATTTTTGGTTTACTTTTTTTTGCAATCACATCTCACGTTTGAAAACAATTTTTTCGTAAAACGGTAGGTGGATAAGCACGAATTTTGCTAAAACAACTGCAAAATATAAAAAAAGACCGCATTATACGCCCTCGTGAGCCTCGTCCGTGCATTATAATAATTAATATGATTAGTTAAATAAATTTTTAATTCAACAATGTAAGTAGCAAAATTATTAAAATTTTTGAATAAACATATTTACAGCAGTTTATAAAAAAAGAGGATTGAAATTTATGAAATTTATTAAAAAACTGTAATATTTTTAGAATTCAACCCAAAGAAACCACTCAAAACGGAAAATAATTAATAATTAATCACTTGATAGATATAATTATTATTCTTGTGAATGCGCCAGAAATGAAATAATTAAATTATTAATAGAACAAACATATATTCAGAGACACAAACTCACCTAGTAGTGGTCTTGAAGAAGTTGGACTCTCTGTTCATCAATTCAGAGCGGAATCTCGTCATCTCATCCTCCATCTTTCGCATTTCAGCATCAAACCGCTCGCGGATGTTGCTGAATTCCGAGTCGATGACGCTGAAGTCGCCTAGCTTGATGGGGATGTTCCTCTTGTTCGAATCAGCCATGGTTGCGAATTAATTTTTCACTCAGTCAATATAGGCGTTCGCGGTTTTGCCCAAATAAGGATAGTGCGCGATCGGTGCGTCTGACTCGAATCGTGGCTCTCGTCGCGAGCCAGGCGTTTAAATGAAGCTTGCGACCCCAGTGGCGTGACGCGGCACTAGACACGGAAAGCTGGGATCGATGCTGTGGGAGAGCTGGGGGAGGCTCCTCGGGCCAACTCGGGCGATGACGCGAGAGCTGTTGTGCTTATGAGTCGGCGTTGGGCAAAGAACAGCCCAAGGAGCTGCAGGCTCCCATGACACAACCTCTCTCTCGTCTTTTCCACGCGCTTGACAACGAATAACTTTTGTGGATATAAATGGAATTGTTTCATCTCCCCGATATCCCCTGCGCGCTCCATTATTATAAATTGCATAAATTGATGATGAATAAGCTGAAACTTCTGGACGCCGCCTTCGCGGAATACAATATTTATTGTGCATGCGTTACTAATTACTATATTATATGTATTTAATTTATTATTAAATGTTAAAATTGGTAATTAACATATAATAATAATAATAATTAACCGTTAGTATAAGCTTTTATTTTGTGTGTTGCAAACAATTGGGTTGTGCTGTAAGAAAGTTATCTGCAATATCATATTGAAGCAAAAAATGATATATTTAAATTTTATTTTGTTAAAATTTGTTAGTGTGATTGTGTGTTTTGAATCCAAGTTAAAATTTCTTTTGAAAAATTAAAATTTATTATTTACTTTTTCTCCATTCATGGCAACGTTACATCGCGCTCACACTTAAATTCACCCATTTACCATTTTTTCAAATGAAAATAGTAATAAGACTTATAAAAGATGTACTAAAAATATATTTGCATTAAATTACAAAACAAGTTTGTCATATAAGCTATACATAAATTCCTGTTAGCTGTTCTGGAAAACAAATGCAACTACATATTGCAGATCGACACAATGCATACTACACTATCAACTTACATTTTTTAACAATATTATTTAAAAAATTTAATTTTACACAATTTTGTAAGATGTATTTATAATATTTACTTTTATTAAAAACATTTTAAAATATAATTTACTAAAATTAATTTAAATGTGTATTATAGTAATAAAAATTCAATAATTTTATTAATTAAATGCAATATTATGTACATTAAAATCATTTTATAAAATTATATAATAAAATTGAAATAAACAAAAAAATTATAAATTTTTTAACATATAAAATTAAAAATTTAGATAAATTAAATACAAATCAGCAGCAAATTCAGTTTATCTCATTTTCAGCATCAACAAGCGGCCGCCAAACCTTTGGATATAATGCCAACAATAATAATTATTATGCTTGAATTTACCCTACAAAATAAAATAGGATAAAATTGAGTAGCACCTTCTGCGCCACTAAAAGAGTCCAGAGGGCACAGGCCGACAAGACTTTGTGTTAGCCTGTGATTCTAAATAAAAGACATTTTGAAAAAAGGTGTATAATTAAAAAAAGTTTCAATAATAATATTAAATCTACAATAGTTTTATTTTATTAAAGTTTTGTTTATTCTTCAAAAATTAGTTATACATGAAATAGAAAAAAACAGAAAAAAAATGCAAAATAATGCGAAGAACAGCGAAGAAGAGGCAGCACCTCTAGCGATTAATTCGCTAGAACTGACAGTCGGATCTGATATATAGTTTTTCAAGCTCAATTCAACGATCGTATTTTGAATTCTGTAATTGAAAAGAGACACAGGGCTTTTCGAGTCTTTAGAAATAAGGACAGGCTGCCCTGGATCTTGTTGCTGCATAATTATTGAAGCTTCTGAGGGAAAAATTGAATTTTGGGAGTCTCTCCACTTTTGATCCAGCTCTCTCCGCGACAGTACTTGGCGCCATCAAGCGGCTCGCGCCAAAAGTGGCACGTGCGTGTGACGTCATTTCCTACGTTTCCGATCACGTGACTCGACGGCAAGGCGAGGAAACTCCATCCATACTCCACTCCATCTTGGGTTTATCCACGAGGGTTGTGAATTGCATTATTTTTGTTGCCGTTTATTTTCCGGCCGTCGCAGTCTCAGAGAAGCTCAGCATGCCATCCAGTAACCCGTTACCGCCCAAAGAAAACGCACTCTTCAAGCGAATATTGGTGAGCGTCCTCGAATCCCTCCGCCGACCTGGGTTATTTTTGAACCGACCCTGCGCCCAGCTACGGAGCCTTGATCACTCTCGGTTGTCCCGAAATTTTGCATTCCTCGCAATTTGTTGACTTGACACCGTGCCGGTGTTGGCCATTTCGGCTACTAGGGTGTCGGCCCAGTGCTAATCGGCTGTTAGCGCCGCTCGGGCCTAACGATTTCTGGCGCCACGAGTGAGAAAAACCTTTGTGTTGCTTCCCGGCCGAATCCCAATCGCTGAATTTTTTCCAAAGCCTGATTCAGATCTCCTTTGACTTAATTTTTAATTGCTTCTTTAAGGCACCGGCCGTGTCGCCTTTGATGTTGGGCGTTATTGCAGACCTCTTTGCTAGTTCAGCTTATTTTTTTCGGATTTGAATTTTGGCCCATCTTGAGAATAGAATAAAAAACATTTTATTTACAAAAATTGACTTGAATTTTATTTTTTTACAGAAATGCTACGAGCAAAAGCAATACAAGAATGGGCTCAAGTTTGCCAAGCAGATCCTGACAAACCCAAAATATAGTGAGCATGGAGGTGAGTTTGTGAATTGCATTCATTCAACCCATTTTTTACTTTGGTTTTTATCTTTTGCAGAGACACTGGCCATGAAGGGCCTTACCCTCAACTGCCTGGGTAGGAAGGAAGAGGCGTATGACTATGTGAGGAGAGGGTTAAGAAATGACCTCAAGTCACACGTCTGTTGGCATGTCTACGGGCTTTTGCAGCGCTCGGACAAAAAGTACGACGAAGCTATCAAATGTTACCGCAACGCCCTCAAATGGGAAAAGGATAATATTCAGATATTGAGAGACTTGTCCCTGTTGCAAATTCAAATGCGAGACTTGGACGGTTACAAGGTTATTTAATTTTACTCGAGTAATGATTTTTTAAATTTAAATGTTGATTTTGTTCTGCAGGACACAAGATATCAACTTTTTATGCTTAGACCAACGCAGCGTGCTTCGTGGATTGGTTTTGCCATGGCTTATCATTTACTCAAGGACTTCAGCACGGCATTAAGAATTCTTGAGGACTTCAGGAAAACTCAGGCTGTAAGTAAAAGCTTAATCTCATTTTCTAACAATGGTCATGAATCAATATTATGTCCGACCAACTGTTACATCACATATTATCATGTGAAAATTTCTTTAATCATCAATAAAATTATATTTGTTTTAATTTCTCCACAAAAAAAAATATAAATGGTCACTTGTCTAGTCCATGACTTAATCCTAAATATGATCATTAAAAGAAGTTGGATTAATAAAATCTTGTTTTTCCCTTTCCCAATAACTTTGAATTGCTTTTTCAATTGCAGCAAAAGAGCACTTTTGATTATGAACACAGTGAGCTACTTTTATACCAAAACATGGTCCTTCATGAGTCTGGAGCGTTGCAGGAAGCCATTCAGCACCTTGACCGCTACGCAGACCAAATCTGTGACAAACTCTCAGTCCTAGATACCTACGGTAAGGCTTGTAATTTTGATATTTTGACACAAGTAACAAAATGTTTAATCTAGGCCATCTCTATCTGGAAACGGGCCGTTTTAAGGATGCTGAGGCTATCTATAGAAAATTGTTGCTCAGAAACCCCGAGAATACGGAGTATTACAAACTACTTCAGGACGCCCTTCAGCTGACCAACCCCGACGACAAGTTGAAACTGTTCGAAGAATACCGGGAAAAATTCCCTCGAGCACAGGCTCCGCAGAGGCTGCCTCTGGCTTTGGCCTCTGGCGAGCAGTTTAAAATTTTAGTCGACCGGTACTTGAGGAAAGGCCTGCACAAAGGTGTGCCTCCTCTGTTCGTTGATCTGCGCTCTTTGTACAAAGACCCGGAGAAGGTTGAAATTATTCACAATCTGTTGCACCAGTACATAAATAGCCTCAAGACGTGTGGCAACTTTTCCTTAAGTGGTCTGTAATATAACTCATTTTTCTTTTCAAAACTTACTCTTTGTCTCTAACAGAGTCTGAATTGCCAAATGAACCTGCCTCTGCTTTGTTGTGGGCTCTGTACTTCCTGGCCCAGCATTATGATTACCTTGGAGACACCAATAAAGCCCTTGAAGCAATCAATGCAGCAATCGATCACACACCTACACTCATTGAACTCTTTGTTGCAAAAGGGCGAATTTTTAAAGTAATTTTTACAATCCAGATTTTAGCTTTTTTCTTACAAGTTTCTGGCATTTTGCAGCATGCTGGTGATTTGATAGAAGCCTACAAGTGGATGGACGAGGCTCAGGGACTTGACACTGCTGATCGTTACATCAATTCTAAATGTGCCAAGTACCTTCTCAGAGCAAATCTTGTCAAGGAAGCCGAAGAGAAGTGTTCTAAATTCACAAGAGTAAAGCAAAAAAGTTTTATTATTTCAAAGCAAATATTAAATTTTTGTACCATCAGGAAGGTGTAACTGCCATGGAGAATTTGAACGAAATGCAGTGTATGTGGTTCCAAACTGAATGTGCCCTAGCATATCAAAGAATGGAGCAGTGGGGAGAGAGTTTGAAAAAGTGCCATGAAATAGATAGAGTGAGTATTATTGGCTTCAACTAAGCTTAAGCTATTGGCTTTTGAGCCAAAGATTGCTCTTCAGCAGCTTAACATCAATTTTGCAATAGTCTTAGTTAGTGAAGTGAACCATGCCCTTCATTGGGTCGTTTTTCCTAATTATTTGAATAGTTTCTCTTTGACTATCACCACTTTTATCACATATTTTTTTAAGAATATTTTGAGCACCATACCAAGATCGGGAACCGATGAAGTGTAGAAAAGCTTTTTATAAAATGATTGTTGGTGATATAAGTTAGATAAATTAGTTAAGGTTTTTGACAAAGTCGAAAAACAAATTAATATTAAAAAATCTTATTGTTGCCACAAGACATAATAGTTTTTGTAAATGCTAATATCTTATGAAAAGCTGCAATGCAAATTACGAAAGTCTGCCACTATATAAATCCACTCCCATTTGTATCCATCGGCCTAAATATAAAAAATGCAAAACTTGAACCTCATGGATGGAGCATTCTAAATTTTTTCTACTTTTAACAAATATTTGATCTGTTGCTCCAAAAAAAATTGAATCAAGCAGGCCCAAAACCCAATATTTTTTATTTAAAAATGCAGCCTGTGTGACAAGTAATAACTAGGGTACCCTATTGAAGGACATTAAATCTGATCTACCTGTTGATTGAAACACCCCACCGCGGAAATGGATAAAATAATCTACTCTACATGTATTGTTTCACTCACTCAACCAGAACCACGTGATGTTTATGGGATATATATTTTGATATGTTAAACTTGAAATAATGTCTTGTTTTAAGGGCAGATTGGATATTTATTACAAAAGTTTCATGCAATAAATTTTTATCTAATCCCTGCATTTTTAAGATCACTATTTAATTGATAAAATGGCAAATGAATTGAATGACAATAATAAATCTTTTATACTTCCTTTGCTATAAATTAATATTTGTCTTTTTTCTACAGCATTTTTCAGAAATAATAGAAGACCAGTTTGACTTCCACACATACTGCATGAGAAAAATGACTTTGCGTTCATACGTTGGTTTGCTGAGACTCGAAGATGTGCTTCGGTCGCACCCATTTTACTTCAAGGTAGCAAGATGTGCCATCCAAGTGTATCTGAGACTCCATGACAAGCCGTTGACAGATGACTCGGAGCAGCAGGAACACAACACCGGTAAGTACCATTCTATCACTTTAAATATCAAAACACCAATAGCGAGCGTTCCAAATTAAATTTCAATCAGCCGACTGCTTTAATTGACTAGGCCAACTATTTTTGGGCTTGGTCCACCCACCATCAAGGCCATTTTTGTTTTATATTTATATCCTATCAAAATTAGAGCAGTCCATTCATTATTTGTCTGTAGACATAATTCACCAGGGATTGGGCCGGTGCAACATAACATTCCACTTGGCTTACCAAGTTGCTCAAGATGAAAAGTATTGAAAAGCTTTGAACGCTTTAAATATTGTAAGCCCTTTCACCATTACATTAACATTGCTCATGCAGATTTATTGCTACTGCAAAAGAATGCTTAAAGAAATAAAGAGATTTTAAAATTTTAACATTTTTCGACTAGCACCCGTGGTAGGAAATGATTAAGTTTAAAATTATAAGTCATGATATTTAATTAAATTCCTTATAATTGCCACGGTATTAATCGGCGGTTGGATCGACGCAGTTGTTGCAGCGAAAAGAAATAATGATGCAGTACAGTACTGTGGCTGCTCTTAAATTTAAATTAATGTTGGAGCTTTTGCAAAATAACTTTTTTTTTATTTTTTGTTAAAAAAGTTTTCTAATAAAATAAAATGCATTTTTTTTTATTATTTGAAAAATAAAATTCATTAATTTACCTGTTTCTGCAACCCTATTTCATCATGATCAAGAAAAATTAAAATATTTTGTACATTCGTGCTGTCATAAAGTTTCTTACAATGAAAACGGCCCAATTTGTTGTTGATTTTCTTAATTGTTTTTAAATTTTCAATGTAATATTATATTGGATCAATTAGAAAAACTGAATTTTAAAATTTAACTCCCAAAAAAATATCAGAAAATATTGGCCAAAACACCATTTCAACAAAATATAATGTCATGCAACCAGCAATTGAATTAAATAGCAAACGAAAGTAATAAAAAGAAACAAAATATGCACCCGCGTGCCAAGAGATAAGCTGATGAAATTGATTTATTCCGATTTATTCCAATAACTTGTCATGATTCTGGGATTTTATATCTGCACTTTTCATCCGTTGCTGAAGTTCTCAAATTGCTGGCGGAATTACAACAGACAGTCGTAGATTGCGGTTTCTGCGTCTGTGTTTTTCCCTTCATAATTCTGACCTGGCATGATATTGATCTAAAAAGGTGAACCATAAATAACCATTAAAAATAAATATCAGTTGCAAAAATATCCACTTAATTGACAAATTCTTTCAACTTTTTGCTGAACGATTTGAAAATTCATGATTTTGAATTTGCAACTTTCCACGCAGTTCAGTCCCAATCTCTTTCACACGATAATTTCGGCAAACACTTTACCTTTCACCGAAAGATTTTAACAAAAGTCACCTTATGAATTTCAAAGTCGAGTCCTTAATTCATTTACGACTCCTGATTTGCATAAATTTGAAGAATCGTGCGTGGCTAATTTGTCCACTAGCGCGACGAAAAATGCACTTGAGTCGTGCTTAACTGTGCGGTAATGAAGAAAATTAGAGTGACGTAAGCCCGATTGCAGTGCTGGCTGGACGCGCGCGCGGCCCAGATTGCACGTTGGGTGGGGCGAAGGGACACGCCAACGTGCCAAGTCAGGAATCTGGATCAAGACGCAGACAACGAACGCAGTCATTAGAAAGCTTGCGCGTTTACACGGGTGAATTTATTGGAAGGGTCCCCTGTGAGGTGGGTTGCGTCATTATATGTGAAGAGTGTCGCGCAGAAGCTTCCGCAAGTGCAATCCGCGCGCGCATTGTTGTCCGGCACTCGCTCGGACTCGACGTGCCTTTCGCAACAATAATGTATTTAATTTTATTGGGCTCTCGTCGTGGAGAATGTCGACTGCTGCAATTAGTTTTCATGTTTTTGCAATCTAATAATTTATATTATTGTTAATACTTTTCACGTAATCTTGGCCGGGAAAAGGCTTGATCCGTGTGTCACGGTTCACCAGTATTATTTAATTATTTTATATTTGAACCACTCGACGGCGGCGCAGCAAAGTCTATGCTGTGTCATTTGACTATTACCAGAAAGTGTGAGGAGGCGTTTAGGATTTTGTCCGAGGCATTCACAAATTGCTTTCACAATCGCAATGCTTGAATGACTTTCGGGTCTGTAGTGTGCGCCAAGAAATTGAAATAATTACATTCAATTGGCACTTGTGTCGAAAAGAAAACTAAGCACACAGTTTATTTAGATTTCAATCAGTTTCACAGAAGATGTTTGTCCATCCAGTTTTCAATGGTATGCTAATGAGAAATCACGTGTCAGGCGGGCTTTTTTTGTATTTAGTTTATAAATGATGGAAATCCACAGAAATTATTGATATCATCGTCTCTAAAAATAAAATAAAAACCTTTCAATGAATAAGTACAAGCTGAATTATTGTTTTATGGCAGATCACATAATGATTTCATAAATAAATTTAGAGTAATAAAATAAATGATAATAATTTTTGCGTCCGACCGAAAGTCACCAACATGCAGCTAACAATTTTGCAGAAGGTGTTACCCGACAACCTGTGTTGATTTGCATGAAAGAATAGAAAACATCGCCGCCAAATACTCCGTACCAACGACCTGCGCTTTCATAGCATTATCATACAATCATCGAATAGATTGCGTTGAGCCAGTCGCGTGTATTATAGATCATTTTTCTTTTTCCCCGGCGCCCGCAGCAATCCAATTTAATGCCCAGTGCCCAGCGCGCACGCTGGGAGAAAGGAAACGATCGCTCCACTTTGTATCATACATGGCCACGCTCAAGAATTTTTCGCTCGCATTCTGCACTCAACGCCCAAAAAAGTCGACGTATCAATAGGAATCCATGACTTTTTTGTGAGCTTAAAAAATTTCAATAGAAAAAAAATATGAAGAACATTTGAACCGAATAAGTCAACACAAGTATTTTTAAATCACTCTGATTATTAATATTATCAATTCAAATCTAGTTATAGAAAAAAAATTAAGAAAATTGAATGAATGAGCAGAAAAGGTCTCTCAACTAGCAGCGGATAACGCTCGACATCTATAGAGACACAGCCGCCGAGATGAACCCACAATATTGCAAAAAAAGAACAATATCCTCAAAAAACCTATTTCGCTGCATTCTACTTTTTTTTAAGAATGATGAACATTGTAAAATTTTATGTGTCTAGATTGAAATACAAATTTTGAGGCCTACACGGGAACCTTATTTCATGAGTACTTTGCTCCCTGTCTAAAATAAAGTGTTTATTTTTACTTTTTTTATTGTTCGGTCGACTCGTTTCTTGATTAAAAGAAAAATTGAATCTGGAGAGTAAAATAAGTTGATAAGGAATCACAAATAGCAGAGGTCTGCGAAAAATCCTGACATCAAAAGGGATTAGGCCAAAGAAAAAAGATGAAAGGCTATCATATTTCCCAGGTTATGCTCATTTAATAGAAATTTTAATAAAAAAAATCTTGTCTCGCATCGTTTAACGGCTACATTTTATTTGAAAGTATGTGATTCAGTACCCGAATCGAACATAACACTCATTTTCTTCATTTCACGGCTACTTGGGTTTTTCGCCAGACGTAAGAATCAACGCTACTTTATTAAGCTACTTCATTTTTTCTGCTGATGAAATTAGGTGACACAACACACAATCATTATGTAAAAAATGACAGTCGCGTGGCGTAGTCGTGAAGAATCGACAACAATGTGAGCAAATATTATATAATAGTGTCGTTTTTTTTTTCATCTAAACTATGGTGAACAGACAGCTTTTATTCAGAGACAACTTAATTTGCTTTTACTACTTTTATTCGTCAAAATTCTCACAACCAGCTATAAAGCAGCAATCAACAATTGATTTGTCCTTGTTTTTATTGCCGACACAAAACATACTCTTGCAAATTAAAGCGCAGGATTTTGACTTTAGCACCCCAGTTGTATGTAAAGGCGTTTATGGGCGTTTAATATAAAAATTATTTTTACTTCAAAAGCGCATCAAATATAATTAATTATATATTGCCTTAAAAGTAATAAATATGCTTGAAATGAAAAACGGGCTGAATTTTGCAAAATTATTATTTTTAAAGATTATTTAGTTTTGTGTATGGTCTACAATCCCTATTTCATGGGCAAAAATAATAATCAAATTTGCAATCTAATTATTTTGTTTGAAAATTAATCGCTATAGTTTATGTCATGAATTTGTTTTCAATAAATGAAAATCTCAATTTCGGCAAAATTTGCTTAAGAAATAGGCTCGTAGACCGTGATCGTCATTTAAAAACCATCTTTATAACGAGAATAAAACCCGTTTTTCTTTCAATGAACTTCTCGGGTTCTCACCTTTTCTCATAAATATCTGTGTTGGTTCACATTTAAATACACTCTTTATCAATAATTTTGTCTATCAGGAAACTCACTGCTGCTTTATTTAGGCGAACTGCTCTTCTTGGAATGCTCAGACGTTCCCCTGGGTGCCCTGGGCGAAATGTAATAATAGTGGCTGGACCCTCGACGGCCCTGCCCTGGCAACTGGTATGACACGTACGACTGGTCGCGCAGATTGATAAACTCGCTGTCAGGGTTGATGGCTGGCAGAGGTTGTCTGTAGTTGACTCTGATGTCGTCGTGCAGCTGCACTTGGCCGGCTGACTGGAGTGGAATAGGAGTTGTCGACGGCACACGTTGACCAAAATCATCAAATAGGCTCTTTGTGTTGTCATCCATGTACTTAGCATCGTCTTGCGTGTACAACCCATTGAAGATTGGATTCTGCGTTGTTGACCTTACATCTTTACTTGGTTGCCTGTAGAACTGTCTGTTAGGGAAGTAGTCGCGATGGGGGTTGTATGGCGGCGCCACCGTTGGGATCACGGGCCTTCTCTGTATGTACAAATCGGACTTGAGGAGACTGATTAAGTCCAGGGTCTGCTGATTAATGCGAGGGCCGCTCACAAAGTTGGGTGGCCCATAATCATCTTTAGGCCTGTCTCTGTACTGTGTTTGTGGAGCAGGGGTGGTACTCCTTAGTTTATATGGATATTCGTATGAGGGTTGGAATGAATCTTCAACGTACACAGGACCAATGTTGTATTTGGGGGTTTGAGTTACGAGATAAGCGGGGGTGGTTGAAGGAATTGGTTTGTTGGTAGGGAAATACTCTTGAGATACAACTCTTGGCCTCTCAGTTGAAACAAACGGTTTCGGAGTTGACGTGATGTAATTTGTTTTTTGTCTCTCAGCGTTGAAGAACTCGCGGCTGACCACTTTCGGGGCGGGAGTTGTTTCGTAATATTTTGGCCGTCTGTCCTCAACTGTAGAAGCTGTGGTGTGCACTGAGATTTGAACGCCTCTGTCTGGTGGCAGGGTATAGTATAAGATAGTGGGTGACGGTGTTGAGCTGACGAATGTGTTTTGCTTGGGAAGCTTCCTGAGAGAAGGAGCTGCTGGTGGTACTTCGTAAACAAAAACTTGTTGAGGAGGAGAGACAAAAGTTATGTTTCTTAAGTAAATTGGGTCCGGTGAATATAATATAGGACTTCCATGGTGGTGAAGTATAACATTCGGTTCCTTCTGAGGATACTCTGGCGCGTAAATTTCGTTGTCTACATTAGGTTCAGAAGTAGTGGTAGTTGTGGTTGGAGGTGGTTTTGTAGTTACAGAAAGCGGATATTGTGCAAAAGATGGTCTTGAGGGTGTAGGCCTTGGTCTGAAAGGACGGTGTGGTATGGATCCAAGGTCTGGAGGTTCTGCTTGGCCTGGCACAACAAAGTTTGGTTTTGAAGTTTTGTTTAGAGGTGCAAAGAACTCTGGCGGGGGTGGAAGGATGATTCCCGGAACTAGAGGCCCAGGTGGAAGTTCAGTCGAGTTGTCTCCGTGAAAGGAGAAGTCGTAAGGCGGCGGGTAATAGATGGACGGGTCGTCCTCGTCCAATGGCTTGTTTGGATCTAGCGGTGGTGGCGGTGGGAGGAATGAAGGGGGGAACGGCTGTTGTGGGAAGATTCCGTTCCCCAGGAACAAGTTTCCCTGTTGTTGTGCAAACCTTTGCAGCGCAGGGTTGGTGCCATTTTTTGTAGCAACAAATCCTGTCGGTCCGCCATCGCGAAGTTGTACTGGGAAGGGTGGCGCCACTGACGGGTTAGCAGGAAGCTTAACTTGTCTTGGCGGTGCTTGATAATTATCTATAGGCTCCCAGGCTCCATCGTCTTTGCTATCGTGCCCTGAAAGCACAAGAACGTGACCTTCGGAGAGCCAAATTTCCTCTTGATTAAGTCCTCCGAGATTTCCGCTATTGTCTTTTGGAACTTCATTGTTATCAACGTAGCTTATGATTCCAGGCCGCGAGGGCTGAGCGGAGAATAATTCGTTTTGAATCAGGCCGTATTTCCCATCTTTGACCTGCTGGGATAAACTTTTGGTTTCTTCATCATCTGGCACAGGAGTTGTGGTGCTTGTTGTATAGACCAAAAAGGGCTGCTGACGCGGGGGCCGTTGTTGCTGTTTTGGTTGAGACGAAGCGTTTGATTTTTCTGAATGAGGTTTCCTTGTCTTTGGAACCAGGGTCTCTGATGTTGTGGTCAATATTGACAAGGTCGTGGTGCTTGGGGCAGGGGTTGTGGTCGTGGATTTTGCTTGTCTATGAAGAGCGTGCAGTCTGGCGCTCCGAAGTTTTGAAATTCGGTAACCAAATTTTGGTGACACCTGCAATCAAAAATGTTTCCCAACCACCTCTCAGATAAATTTTGTTAATTATGAAATGTAGTAATCCTTTATTATAACTTTTCTAACAATTTGTATTTTTGTTTTAAATTTGAAAAACAAATATTACTTGTCCGGTTTTTACAACGTTATAATTTCATTTTAATCTGCATTTTTTATTCTTGCGTTTTAAAGATTATTAAAATATTAAGTTATTAATTATTGAAAAAGATACTCACATCTGCGCTATTCGCACTCGGCTCGATAGGTATCCAACCTGGATCCTCAATCGGTGACACTGCCCCGAAAGCGTGGCTACCCCATACTGTCGCCAGCAGCAATATTGGCAGCAATGAACCGTTTCTGGAACACATTCAATTAACTTTATAATTTTTTTAATATTGGCAGCGATTTTCGTTCTACTTTTGATCAGGAACTGGAATAAATTTAATATCACTTGATTGCCAACTGCGACGTGTTTCTTGCAAGAGTACCAAACACAATAGAAATAACAGTGCTTTTGAAATTATATTAACACTGCTGCTTATTCCTCGCCAATCTAGTAAAAAATAATAGGGAAAAATAAAAACAATTTGTAGAAACTTCTGGAAAACAAATTGCTCAAACGCGGGCCTTCAATTGAGTAAAGTCGGCGCTGAGCTGGGCCACAAGCTGAATTATAACTTATCAAAATAAATGAGTCTCTAAACTTGGTGCTGCCACGCGAGATTTTTACAAAACAGAGGGAGGTGGGATTGCAATTATTTTAAATAGTCGCGTCAAAAGTAAAATAATTGAACACAATAAAATTACAATAATAAAAAATAAATAAATGCCCTATTTGTTGTAAGATTGGAGCTTGCCTTCCGCAAGTTCATAAAAGGGCTCAAGCCAACAAGACGTCTTGGCCTGACCTAAAATTTTTGTAGTTTATATTCAATTTAATATATTGTAGAGTAAGAGGGGTTTTGTCCTCCTTAGTATTTTAATTTAAATTTTTCAAAATTAACGGATCTCAGTTTCATTTGCGGTCTGCATGAGAAAGAAATTAAAATACTATAAATCAGACACAACAGAGGATCCACTTAAAACGCAATAAATAAAAATTAAAAGTTTCGGCTAACAGAATTCAAGGACCAAGATATTTTTTTTTAATAACTTACGGCCTGTTTTTCTTTGCTCTTCATCAGAGAGATTTCAATGATTGATTGCTCTTTTATTACGGTACACTTTTACAATCGTCAATCTGATCTTTTTGAAATGCTTAAAACCACCAACTCATTTAGCCTTTTTAGGCAAGACGTTTGTTTGAAAATATGCTAGGCGCGCGCCTGATTTTCATTATTGTTGGCAATTTCATTAATGGCAGTGATATTACGCAAGCGGACCGCGCCTTCTGGATGGGTGTCATTGTTGAGCGCTACTCTATTATTGTTTGCTTTCTACGACCGTGCACTCTGACCCGCTGCTCCAGTTACTGTACTTTTATCTCCAAATCAATCGGTCATTAGCGATCGGAGAAAAATCGCAACCGTTTTTAGAGAGCACGCGCATTGCTGGAATGCCTCATTTCGTGGAAAAGTGATTAAACAAAATCCGCTGGCTTTCTTGATTTTTTTTTATTAATTTGTCTAACAATAAGTCAGTAATTTGCTTACAATTAGCCGCTGAATCAGATTTTTGCTTCAAGTTTATTGAGAAAATAACATGAATAATTATGAAGTTTATTTCAATTGATTTTCGCGGCTTATACGAGAAATAATATTATGACATATGTGCGCGCCGTGACATCAAACCGCGACATGAGACAGGTAGAAAATCAACAACAGTAATTCCCATCACGCCATTTTCAAATTGAGCAATGAAGGGAAATACACTCTTGGTGTGGCGGAAAATGGAATTCAAGTCGATCATGTTAGCTTTGGCGGCGACCACGTGAGAACTTGAGAAAGAAGCAGTTATCGCAGCAAATTGAGCGTGATGTGCGAGACATTTAGGCGCGAATCAGTGCTCCGTAAAATTTTGTTTAATTGCATTGGTTTCTTTTTCTTTTCCTTAGTGGTAAAAATAATTTGGTAGAAATCGAATTTTTTGTTTCAATGTAGCTTTTTTAAATTTCAGATCACTTAGAAATTTAATTGCGAAAAACGACCATATTTAAATTGTGCTCTCCCTTTCCCAGGGTTTCGATGTAAGAAAATATTTCAACCTTAATGTGGCCTACATCATAATTATGAATATTTATTTAATAAGTCCAATTAAAATCGATAATTGGGGAAAATTTAAGGATGGGTCCGTCTAAATTGTCAGACATCAAACGACACTCGACCGTACAGAAAAAAGAACGAGAATATGGAACTGAGTTTTTCGTACTTCTAGAGTTTTGCTACGAGTTCCTTTAACTTGCATGACTCGGTTGTATAACCATCAGCCTGTTGCAATTTGTTTTGAGCCAACGTACGGCTTACGCTTGTGAGCTTGCTAAAATTATTTTTGTTGCGTAAATTTTATTCAGAAACCGAATTGAATAATTATTTTATTATGCGTATCCGACGTGATATTTTATGAAAATATGTTCAAACTGTATTGACGATAATTCCATATATATGTCTTCCTTCTACTAGTATGACCTAATAGTAAATATATCCGAATTAACAATATCAACGTTAATTTGTCCAAATTTTTAAAATAAATGACAAGTTTTGGGAGGGAAACATTTATTCAGAAAAAGGCACCAATATTAAAAAAGCTTTGCTTAAAGAACCCATCCTAAGCAGCGAGCCTTTGTTGAAATATAATTATGTCTTAATATAATATCACGCCATAAATACAATAAAACTGATGCAATGTTATTGAATTCAGGGACAAGGCAATTTTTTTATTGAAAGCAGAGCTAAACATTTCAATTGATTTTATTTTTACGTTGCAAATTTAATTCACAAATTCTTAACGATTTCTGAGTGGACAAAAATTGCCTATTGTGATTTTTATTCGTCTTGAGGGGCTTCTTTGTCAATTTTTTAATTTAGATCCAAAAAAAGGGTAATTCTTTAATTCTTATAAACTATTTCAAGATTAACTTTTGGTGAATACAGTAAATTCATAGGATTAAAAGAAATGCTACTCTTTGGACTTTTTTTGAAATAAAAATTATAAGTTTGACGTTGCTGTAGCTCTAGATTTTGGCTTTATTTGCTTTCAAGGTCGGTCGTGATTACCTTGCACACACGGGAGTTTCACTTTTTTCCCCAATTCAATTTGTAACTGACCAAAAGCATCGTTTTCATCTTTGAAGGTTGGGGAGAAAAATACCGGAACTTATAGGAGACCAAGAATTGAGTGAGACGACCTCGTCGACGAAACCGCGCCCGGCGCGCCCGCCCGTTCGCTGTCTATTTCTCCACACGAGACGCGCGACGCTCGCGACAAGGCCGAAGAGAGAGATTTTATTAGCCCAGTAAATATTAGCCATTATTCGTGGCGCACGATCAGTAATTAGATTAATGGCGGTAAAATAGACAAAACTTTTATTGAATCATGCGTGCAAGACAGGAAACAAGGCGAAGGCTGCTGCCGTGATCTTGCGTGCATTTCAAATTTTAATTAATCGGTTATTACAATTTCACAACGTGACGCTTATTGTTAGTCTCGCTCATTGTTGAATTGTTGCACTATATCATTTCTCACATCTTTTTGTCAAATCGAACTCTTGATTTGTTTCATTAATCCAGTAGTTCGCACTTATTATGCTGTTCATTTTAAGACCGGGAAAATAGTTGAATTCATTGTAGTTTATTGCAGGAAACGTTCAAGACTCTAATTTTTTTTTAACTGATCTATATATAAAGACGCGGCATGAACACCGAACAAAAAATGAAAGTTGCGAACGGCTCATTTACTTACTCGCAGCTCGCAAAACTGACCCGTCACTCAAACAATAAGCGGTGGCGGCGGTACAAACAAATCGATTTCCTACACATTAATTCTGACCGGCCCAACCCGCCGAACAAAATCTGAAATTCTTTGGTTGATTTCTCGGTAAAAGTTTTTTTTGAAGAACTGAACACACTGGAAATCAAAGAAATTGTAAATTGCCCGCTGAGCAAATCATTTTTTTCTCCATCGCATTTTTTTTCTTTTTACTAAAACGGCTGAGCCTCCAATTTTCGCAGAGCTTGTCACGTGACGATAAAATACGCGACTGTGGCCTGGACCTCTTCTAGTAAATTTTCTTTTCTAGTGTATTGCCTTAATTATGAATAATGATAATAATTATTTAGAAACCATTTGAAAAATAACATATTTAAAAGTTCAACACTGAACTTGCTAATTCAATTCATTATTGTTTGTGCAACCCACTCGCTTACAAATTATATTTAAATACTCATGGTCATTGATTTATCTTTTTGAGCGTCCCTCGTCTTGCCTTGTCTCTGGAATATACAAGACCTTTGCCGGCAAATTTGTTTTAATTCATATATAAATATCACACATTATTAATCATTTTGCCATTAGTACTGTTGCTCTGCTCGAGGGGAAAAACTATAATAATTTAATCGGATGAATTTACCAATAATATATTAATAATTTTTTTTCCGATATCAGACATATTTAAAAAAGTTTTTATATGTATTGCTGAATTATGAATTCTATGACGTGAATGAATATTGGAGATGTAAATTTCAATGCTTAAATTTAGCAGAGTGAGATTCAGCTGCAGGTTTGGCGGTGGTTTTCCCCTGTGGTACGTGAAGAAGGTTCGGTCAAAGTATTAATGGCGTGCAACGTGCAAGCAACGTCAATAAAAAAAAAAATAATAAAATAAAAATTAGAATAATATTTTGTACTCCAGAATTAGTGACTTTTTATAAAGGCAAATTCAAGGTGTATTATACAAATGTCTAATGCAGGAAATATTTATGAAATTTAATTCAATTCAACAGAAATTATAATCGATTTCATTATGTTCTTCATTAAGATTCTCAAAATATGAAAATAATCATGATATCAACGTTACATTTAAATATTGAACAATTATATGAGCTAAATTATAAGCAGCTTTATTTTTTTTATTTTTCCATAATTTATTCTGCAGTGTGATTTTTTTACTACAAATTTTTAATTTCCTATTCCCAGATTTTTCGACCGTAAACCCACTCTAATTTTAAAATGGTTGCTTGCATCCGCGGACAATAGTGTTTGAAAATCTCACATGCATGTATGACAAATTATTTTAATTAAGAGTTAAAAAAGCACCGTGTTGTGAAGTTAAATCCGCTTACTTTGAATTGGATTCGGGAGGCATTGTGGGTATTTACCTGAATTTATGCATGTTAAGATCGTGTGGATTGTGATCGCGCCGCGGTATCCATGATGATCAGGTGTTCATTAGGTCATTGCGGGCGCCCCCGTCCTAGCGTCACTGAATGCACCACTTTACTGACTGTTTGTGTACAATGCAATGTGTTGGGCGCACACGTACGGCTGCCTCCACCACACCTGACGCAGAGGCAGGTTCGCGTGCCGTAGGTGGGGCACCTTCAGACCTTGGTCCGTGCCAGCGAAAGTGACTTGCAATTATTAAAGCGGATGTAAACATCGATCAAAGTATTTAAAGCGGCCAATTTAGCTTGAATAAATGAAACTTGCTCGAGTTGTTCAAAACAAATTTTTGAATTTTCAGTTTTTGAACGTTATTTATTTGACCGAATTGTTACATTTTAAATTGAATGGAAAATAATTGTTTGAAGGAAAACATTGGATTTTTGAAGAAGAAAAGGCACCACCATTAGCAATGCCCTAACTTCCAAGATTGAAAATTTAAAGCAATGCCAATAGAAATAGTTTTTTCAATCCATCCTTTCAATATCTATGATAAAAGACTCATTGTGCCTTGGTTAGTGTTTTTTTTTCTTGTCACTTTTTATAGCACGGCTGTTCAAGAGTCTTAATTAACAAGTTGAATATTTGAATTTGAATTATTTCCAAGTGACTAATTTTGTTTGTCAGCGTGCAGCTGAATGCCAATGTCCAAGTGTTGATCATGTTTGTTTTTTTATCATTTGTGGCCTAAAAAAAATTTTTTTTTCACTTTGATTGCTTTTAACATAATTAAATTAATTAAGACAGTCAAAATTAAGTCAAAGGAACTCACTCCGCAATTTCTTCTCTCCTGTAATAGCGAGTTTGATGTTTTTAGCCAATTTTCTCGCTGACCATCAAGGTATTTAGCCAGATTGAATGTAGCGATTCAGTGTAAAAGGAATATTTTGTCGCAACGAGTGAATAGAAAAGATGAAATTAAGCAGAATGATACGATTAAATAATATATATAATTCTTAAATAAATTAGATAAATCACAAGCTCTCCTAACGTAAAGGTTTTAAAAATCATTCACACACTCAATAAATATGTTTTGTTTACAAAAACAAAACCATCTGATAAATATTCAATCTGTTTTTTTTTCCTGCAAATTATTATATTTTAAAAGTTAAAGTCATGAACAATAAAAAAAAAATCAAAATTTCATAAAATTTGTGAAATTTTTTGTAGATCCAGCCATATTTTTATTTATTACAAAATTATTTCTTGCCGTTTTGTTTCCAAAAATTTACAGCCTTGTCGTAATCTTCCACGCTGCGTTCACTTTTCTAAAATACATAATAGAGCGCTTTTTATAACGTGTCTCTTTCTTGTTGTTAAAATGTAAATGTAATGCTCGCGCAGCTCTCTTAAGGCGCGCACAAAGTTTTTCATTTTTGCCAACACACATCGTTGGTCTAGGTGTTTCTTTCTCACGCCTTCTCTCTCTCATTGCTAAGCAAGTAGCTACTTCCCAAGAGCACCTGATCTGAACACAATAGCTCGCAGGGAAAGAGAAAACCGCTCGAAATGCTTTCACGACCAGGCATCTGTGATATACAAATTCACAGATAAGACAAGTGCATGGAAAATAAGGCATTCATTAGTGACAATTATTGGCATATTTTTCAATATTTAACTCGTTTATTTTCATTAAATGCAAAAAAAATGAAGGTTGACAAAAAAAAAATGGTTTTAAATTTGATGTTAAAGAATGTTTGTTCATAAAATTTTGTCCGATTATTTTTTGCGCACCTTGCAAATTTTTTTTGTATGCTGAATTAATTTTCTGATAATTGTTTCCATTTCTATGATTTTTTTGCATAGACTTTGTTTTATTATTTTTTCTTCTCGGCCGATACAAAAAAAATTAAATGGTTAATAACACACTTTGCCGGGTTGAAGGAATTGTAGGATAGATTTAGTTGCAAGTAATTTAAAAAATGAAGAAGGTGAGCGGCTGGGCATTTTTGAATTGGAATCATGCCGGTATTTGCCTGGAATGTGTGATGGAAACCTAAAAAACATGGCATATCCAAATGCTTCATTTTAAGGCAAATCAATTCGAGCCTAAGTTCGTAATTAGTAATTAAGAACCTTATAAACGTGCAAGAGAAAATACTCTGGGAACGAAATACGAGAGTGCACGTAGACGAATTAAAATTTTCTTTAATTTCTCCCACACCATTCTCTGTGTCATGGGAACATCGTAGTTAAAATTGGAACGCTACAGCTCTTAACCTCACCATGTTTTTGGTGGCCTTGATCAAGGGTAACATATATTTTTTTCTTTTTTTGCAGAAAATCTGGCTCCGGGCGAACTGAAGAAGCTGCGCAACAAGCAACGCAAAGCCAAGCGCAAGGCAGAGATGGAGAAGCAGCAGGCGGCGCAGGCACAGGAGAAAAAGGAGCATCACAACAAGTCAAGACAGCAGACCGAGGCAGAGCTGGACGCTCCGCCACAGGACGAACTGGTGCCCGAGAAATTGGAAAGGGTACATTTTATTTTTCAGCTTGACCCTTAAAAAAAATAATTAAAGAAAATAATTCAAAGTGACGTTAGCCAATGTGCAAAAACTTATTTTTATTTTTACTATTATAAAGACTATTTTATTGTATGAAAAGTTGCTGAACGTGGAAAAATTGATTTCAGACTGAGGATGCCCTGGCGCAAGCAACCAAGTTTCTAACACCCATGCAGCAATTGGCTGCCTCAAACATCGAAACTCATCTTATGGCCTTTGAGATTGCTATCCGAAAAGGTGAACATTAGTTTATTTCTATAGTAAATTTTTCTAAATTTCATAATTCATTTTCAGGCAAGCCTTTGCTAATGCTGCAGTCAATAAAGCGAGCTTACCGCATCGATCCCGAAAACGCGATTTTGCACTCGTGCCTGGTGCGCTTCCTCACCTTCCTTGGCAAAGCCGGCACGCTCGACCTGGCCGTCTCACAAGTCATCCAAACTGAGACAAAGTCCATTTTTCAGGCCAGGGACGCCAGGCAAATGAATGCGCAGTATTTGGCTCGCCACGGTCGCTCCTTGCCTGCCCGTCTTGAAGGTGAACTAATAAAATCTTAATTAGAACTTAAATAAATTAATGCATTTTGGTTTAGTTGCCCGAATGATGTACCTGTTGGATCCGTCGTGTCAAGAATCAGCAATCTCACTAGCAACAGCTCTTGACTCGGGGCTTGAGGAAGTCAATTTAAAGGTAGGTGCTAAATATACATTTGCTGTGTGACAAGCGTGGGTAGTTATTTATTTTATCTACATTACCACGTTGTAGAAGCAACTACGTTAATTATTTTTATTATACTTCGAACAAACATTGCATTTAGCTTGAGTAGCTGGCTGAGCAGTCATTTAGAGAATAAATTAAATAAATGCAAATTATTTCAAAAGACTCCTCCAGTTTGCTTTTTGGAGGTTTTGAATTGCAATTTCCTGTTATATTTTGCCCGTTGACATTTTTGTCACGGCCACCTTTTACTTGCCGTTATATTATGTTGTTGAATTGGATCATTCCAGTTTACTGTGTAGAGGCTTGTAGACAGCATTATTCTCTTTATTATGTTGTAACATAATCCTTATTACGCGGTTGTACAACAAGCTGCTGGCTGTCTTCAAAGCCTTGATTTCGACAATTTTTTTCCTCTTGAAAATTTTCGATTTAAAAGGTTTTATTTCCACTAGAGAGGAAAAAACATAACTTTGTCTGCCTGGTGAAGATTTGAATTGAAAAAGATCATGGATTTTAATCTATTTTTAATACTAAGAGCAGTTTTTGTTCAATAAAAATATCTGAAACTACCCAAGCAAGCAGGTTGCATAGCAGGCAGGGTCTTATTTTCTTATTTGATAATTTTTATTAAAATTTACTCCCGGTCAGGTCTGAAATTAAATAAAAACAGGCAATTTTGATAATTCCTCAAAACCATTTAAAACTGCAGCCAACCTGCTTTATTTTATTCAATTCTGTCAAAAGTGTCGCTGTGTAAAGGATTTAAGTGTCTTTTATATTTTTTCTCTTATTGTTTTTTATTTGTCCAAATTGTTACATTACATTGTTTGCACATGCAATTGTTGAAAACAGTTTGTTTGAAAAGAAAAGGAATTGTTGGACAAAATGGCAAGAATTTTGCTCAAACTTCCGATATCAAAAAGACCCCATCCGCTGCAATGAGTCTCGGTTGATTTTTTTTGTAAATTTTATTTTTTTCTTAATTAAAAAAATTAAAAGGTAAAAATCCAGACCCCTGAAAATCAAATGTAAGGACCATTTTCTTTTTAGCTCCAGCATTCTTTGGAAATTCAAAAGACAAATATTTCATGTTGATTTCTTCGTCTTTTGCAGAACTGCTCAAGTGTCCTGCTTGCACTTGTGAATGGCGATTTTGGCTCGTGCGAGGCTCAAGCCAAAGATTACAAGACACGATGCCACCAGCGATTCCCTTATGCTTTGATTTTTGGTTTCCCAGTGCCTGAGTCATTAGTGGCGTTGGCCTCGTCGGAAAACAACTCAGACTCAATCCACAACCACGAAAACTGCATAAACTGAAGAGCGGCAGATTCAAGCTAAATTCCTCTTGTTTCCTTCATTGTTTATGTGTAAATTTTATTTGTTTATAACTGAATTATTAAATATGAAATGTATTGCTGATTCTTCTGAAAGCGGCGCAGATATGGTGAAAAACATTCAGCTATTCGAGCTTGACAAGCGCCAAAATACCAGTTTCGCTCTTTAAAAATGATAAACGAGATAAGCATTGCCCATATAAAGAATATTTTCAATCGTTAAATTTTCAAACCTTATTTTCTTCATAAAACATGTTAAAATTGCATTTAACAATTAATTTATTGAAGGAATTGTATTAGAGGGGTTATTGTATGTTTTTTTTTTCAGTGATCAACTTTTCCGAGGAAAATTTAATTCTTTTATAGAAATAAGATATTTATTTGGTCTAATTTTACAAGTCCGGAGACTTTTCGGCTGGTATTTATTACAACTGTTAATTAATATAAAGTTTTCAGTAAGAGTTAAAAGAGTGCTGAGAGGCTTGTCAAGCTTGGAGCTATTCAAATAAGAGTCGGCTTAACCTCTGATTATTACAATTAATGCCGGTGCCACTAACATTTTGGACATTGTGCATATTGTCCACGAAATAATTGAAAAACAATGCTGTTTTCTTAATTTTTTTCGTATGCTGCAATTATTGCAAATGATTTCAGCATCAATTTGCTGCCACAAGTACTTTTTGGCACCCAAAGTAATTCTCAATTGTTTACTGTCCGTGTCTTCTTTTTTGCCGACTGCTCACTTTGCGGTGAGCATGGGTTACAAGTGGGCTACATTAGCTCAAAAACTGCTAGCCTGTCCCTATAATTATTGATTGTAAATTAATTAATTGAAATCCAATCACGGATGAGTTTTTCACATTCAAATTTTCTAAAATCTTTACCACCATTTCTGCGCGTTTTAGGACTTGTTAGTTAGAGGAGAAGCCGTTTCTTCACATTTTGTAAAAAATAAAAACTGTTTGAATTGATTTGTGAAGAATAAACAATAATTACTGCAACTGCCTCTATTTGGAAGAACCACCGTCGCGCATTTACACATTTTGTCGTGAAACACTCACGTGTTGCTGCAAAGCCACGAAAGTGCCGTCCTGATCCTCTTTAAAAGGATGGTTAGTGCGTGCAGCCAGCTCAATCTGTCTCTTTCTCTTGTGCCTGGTGTACTGTAAGTCCCGAACAATGCTATGTTTTTTTTATTGTTTTTAAAATTTTTGGCTTTTTCCACTAATTGTAAATGATTGATTTTTTTATAGCTCTTAATTAATCTCGTTGATACTTTGCGTATAAAAAAAATTGAAAATTTCATATCATCGCTTTGTTTGTATCTAAATTCAGTTTCGGTAGCATTTTTATATTTATTTTTTGCAGTAAAAAAATATGTACTCGCTTGTCCTCATTGCTTTTGCAAGTCCAGCATTTTTTCTTTTATGTGCTTTTATATTTGAGAAAAAACCGCTTGAATCGTAATAGATGAAATGAGAAATATTTATAGATTGCCGCTTGCCCATGAAGTTGTTATTGTCTAGCTCAGTAATCTCAGCATATAAAAAATATAATATTTTTGGTGTAAAAATCCGTACGGTTAAAAAAACGACAGCTAAACTGTAATTATAGTATAACCACTGATTGCTTTGTATTTCGAGGATAAGTCAAGTTTTTCCTATAATTTTCTTTTGAATTTTTTTTTCTAAATTTAAATTGTCACTGTTCACTTCTAAATATAAACTTTAATAAAAAAGAAAATCACTTAAATCGCTTACAACCAAAATTTTGTAACAAAAGTAAAATTTGGACGAGTGCAGCTTCTTTTGCCTTAAAATGCTGGTTTTTTTATGCGGTTGAGCACAACTTAAATTATTCTTCAGAAACTATTCACAAATTATGTATTTATATTCCCCCTTATGCAAATTAGGTAAAATTAATAATATTTTAACGTTTATTTTTCCTACAAGATTAGTGCTTGGGTGCAAAATGCAGCTGTAGGAAAGAAAGGTATTTTTCTTGAATAATATATTTACTTCCCATCATATAATTTTCCAATTTTGAAATTCTTGTCGGAATAAACAAAAAATAATATAATTGCACCACATTTGCTGATATTTGCAAATGTTTTAAACATAAATTTTATTGTTGATTATTATTTGTTAAAACATATCTTTTGTACATGGAACCATTTAAAAAAATTTAAAATGTTATTTAAGAGGTGCTTTTTTATATAAAAATGACCATAATCAGATTAAAACAAGAGATTAAAAACGATTACTGTTTAAAAATAGCACTGTAAATAAATTGGTGTTGGCTGCGAAAAGTGCAACCTTAGAGTCATAGGGTATGTCTTACATGTGTCGTATAAGTATTGCCGCGAAGCCCCTGTGGTGTGACGTAGGTTTAATAAATAGGATTGAACCCTGTCGCACGCACTCACGTGGTCCTTGCAGGGCTTTACTTAAACCAATCAATATATATGTACGACTTTTGCAAATGTGCGTTTGCAGATCTGCTGGGAGACAAGAGAGAGCCGCGCAGATATGGCGGACGAGAAGAAAGGTCCAATCGACCTGGAGAAGGTACATTTTTCAAACGCGCTTCTCCAATTTTCATCTGATCTTCTCCGATTTGATTTCAGTCGCAGCCTCGGGCGCGCAAGACTTGTCCCATAGCAATGCCGAAGCTGCCGAAACCACTGACCCTGGAGGAGAAGCGCTACCTTCTGGCGGTGGAACGCGGCGATGCTCCCAACGTGCGCCGCATTCTGCAGAAGGCCTATCAGAAAAAGCACATCAACATCGACTGCATGGACTCGCTGGGCCGCGGCGCCATGCTCATGGCTATCGACAACGAAAACTTGGACATGGTTGAGCTCCTGATCGTGATGGGCGTCGCAACCAAGGATTCCCTGCTGCACGCCATCGAGGCCGAATTTGTCGAGGCTGTTGAACTTCTTCTCCAGCACGAGGAACTCATTCACAAGGAAGGAGAAGCGCATGTAACTTTAATTTAATTTTTAATTAAAGAAAAAATGTGAAATAAATTATCCTATTTAGAGCTGGGAAAAAGTTGACCCAGTAATCGCCACTTTTCCTCCGGACATCACGCCGCTAACCCTGGCTGCACACAAGGACAACTTCGAGATCATCAAGATCCTTCTAGACCGTGGAGCAACACTTCCTATGCCCCACGACATAAAGTAAGGAATATAATCTTTGGCACATTTTGATGGGTGATCAAAAAGCCTTAATATGAGATTTCTGGATCTGAATTTAAAAAATTCAAAATATTCAAATACATTGAAAATGACACATGTCCAAAATAAAGGCAAATAATTATTAGTGCGGCAGATTTGCCTCTATTTTTCAGATAATAAGGGGGTGTCTCGGGTTTATTACCCAAACTTATATTTGAAAAATATTGGCAATAGCTGGTTGTCTGACGTGTTGTTTTGCAATTAAAATCCCTGAAAATGCAAAATAGTTCTTTTTGAATTATTTTATCTTTGAATCAAGAATGTCATTGAAGTTTTCCTTTCTTTGATTAAAATTACATGATTTTTTTCTAAATTTTTATTTCTAAATATTATTTTTGATATGAATAAAGGTGCGGGTGTGATGAGTGCATCATCGCAACGAAGGACGACTCCCTGCGTCACTCTCTGGCCCGCGTAAACGCCTACAGAGCCTTGGCAAGTCCCTCTCTGATCGCCCTTTCGTCCAACGATCCCATCATGACCGCCTTCGAACTCTCCTGGGAGCTCCGAAACTTGGCTTTCACCGAGCAAGAATGCAAAGGAGATTATTTGGTAAGGGAATTATTATTTTATTCAAAATTTTTAATTCAAGAAAAGCATTAAAAAACAATAATTGTTTTGTAGGAATTAAGGAGGCAGTGCCAACAATTTGCAGTCAACTTGCTCTCCCACACGCGCGGCTCCCGAGAACTTGCCATCATCCTGAACCACGACCCTGAGAGTGAAGTTCCTTATGAGGACGGCGAACACATGAAGCTGGCCAGACTTGAGCAGGCCATTAATTTCAAGCAAAAAACGGTAAATATTTAATTTGAATTCAATTTCAAGTAAAATTGAATGATTTTTTGATAGTTTGTCGCTCACCCTAACATCCAACAACTGCTTGCTGCAATTTGGTACGAGGGAGTGCCTGGATTCAGGAGACTCAAGGCCACGCAAAAGCTGATGGAGATCGTCAAAGTGGCTGTTCTGTTCCCATTTTACTGCATGTTGTACATGTTGGCTCCAAACTGCAAAACTGGCAAACTCGTTCGCAAACCGTTTATGAAATTTTTGCTCCACGCCTCGTCATATCTATTCTTTCTGCGTGAGTCACTTTTTTTTCATACTCCATCACTTCACAAAATCGCAGCAAATTTTGATTGTTGCTGAGCTTTGTTACAATTTCTCTAGTTCTTGATATCAAGGAGCTCAAAAAAAAATAGTTCAGTGCTGTTTGATTTTTATGATGCGCAAACTTTGGTTCGTATAATTTCATTGAGAGCAAGAAAAAATCTAGAATCATTAAATAATAAATTCACTTTGTATCGACGTTTTCATATACACAGATTGAGAAAATAATTGGGATAATAAATTTTCAGTACTGCTGATTTTGGTGTCCCAAAGGGCGGAAGTGCTCTTTGTCCAGATTTTCGGGACGGAGAGCATGAAAGCAGACCTTCAGGAAGAACTGAAACGGCAGCGAGGCAACGGGCCCACTTATCTGGAGCTTCTCGTTTGCCTCTACGTGTTTGGCTTCATCTTTGAAGAGACCAAAGAGATTGTTCGCGAAGGCATCGGCAGCTATTTGCGCAACATGTGGAACATCATCGACTTCACGCGGAACTCGCTCTACGTGGCCGTCATGATGTTGCGCGGCGTTGCGTGGATGCAGCAGCAGGCCCAGATCACAGCCGACCCCGCGTCTGCCTACGTTCCCCGCGAGCACTGGGACGATTTTGACCCGCAGCTCATCTCGGAAGGTCTGTGCGCCGCAGCCAACGTCTTCTCGGCGCTCAAACTGGTCCACTTGTTCTCCATCAATCCGCACTTGGGACCTCTGCAGATTTCCCTCGGCAGGATGGTCATCGACATCGTCAAGTTCTTCTTCATTTACAGTCTTGTGCTTTTTGCGTTCGCCTGCGGTCTGAACCAGCTGCTGTGGTACTTTGCCGACCTCGAAAAGCAGCGTTGCTACAGCCTGCCGGGTGGATTGCCTGACTGGAACAACCACGGCGACTCCTGCGTCAAGTGGAGGCGATTTGGAAAGTAAGACTGCAATTTTGTTTCAAAGTTATTCAATTTCAATTGAAATTTAATTTTATATAGTCCTAAAAAAATATATATAAAATCAAAGTTTTTATTTTTATTTCCATTTCTGTTTTGCAATCCAAATTAATTATGTTTATTATTTTTCACTGTTATACTAATTAATTTAATTATTTATGCTATAATTCGTTTCATGTCGATCTCATTCATTTAATTTATTTTTACCAGTCTTTTTGAATCCTCCCAATCACTCTTCTGGGCCTCGTTTGGCATGGTTGGTCTTGACGACTTTGAGCTGATCGGCATAAAATCGTACACTCGCTTCTGGGGCTTGCTCATGTTTGGTTCATACTCGGTGATCAATGTAATTGTCTTGCTGAACCTCCTCATTGCCATGATGTCCAACTCATACGCAGCAATCGTGGTATGTCAAGTCATAACACATCAATTTTATTATAAATTAGTTTTCTCCGAACTATTAAGAGAAAAAAAGCAGACATTTCTCCATTCACCTTTCCTTGCAATCTCCTCATAAATGTATTTTTTCACTTAATTTCATATGTTGATGAACTTATTTATTTTGTATTGTATTTGCGATTGGAGAGAAATTAATTTCCACTTAATTATTTCAAGGAACACTCGGACACCGAGTGGAAGTTTGCCAGGACCAAATTGTGGATGAGCTACTTTGAGGAAAGCGCCACTTTGCCGCCGCCTTTCAACATCATCCCCACGCCTAAGCACATGATGAAGATGTTGGGCCTGAGGAAAAAGGACAAGATGAGACGCATGTCGACCAAGCGCAAGGAGAAGGTTGAGAAGGAGCGCGATTTCCGCTACACAGCAGTGATGCGCGCCCTCATCTGGCGCTACGTCGCCGCCATGCAACGGAAGCAGGACGACAACCCTGTCACAGAGGATGACATCAACGAGGTCAAGTCTGAGATCACTTCAATGAAGTGCGAAATCCTCGAGACCCTGGCCAAGAACGGAATGAACGTTGACAATGAGGCTACCAAGGATAAGGGTATGATTTTATTATTTATTCGGTTATATCAAATTTTGAAATATTGGTAGAAAAATTTGTAATCATTGCTTTTTTTATCACTTCATTGAGAGCCAATTTATTCTACCATTCATGAAATATTAATATTGTTTTAAGAGGAAAATAATAAAAATTTCAGTTGTTCTTGGAAAGAAGATGCGAGTGTGGGAGAGACGACTGATGAAGGATTTCCACGTCGCCCCTGTTGCCGGTGAAGAGACATTCGAGGAGCTGCAGGCGGTGCCACCACCTGAGAACGAGGACAAACTGGCTAAATTTAGGCGTCTTGCAAAACTAGCCGTGCTCCAGTCGAGCTCTCACAAATGGGGAGAGGTTATTCGCGAAGCGTGCAAATCGTGAGTTTTTTACTTTTTCAGACACTTTTGTGCTGTGACAAATTTGGGATTCTTTTAGTTCTCAAATCGGCCGGTCGTGCAGCCGCGAGTCCTTCAAGAACCAGCAGTATCTGCAGAAAGCCATGCAGGAGGCCAAGAAGTTGCAGGAAAAACCTTCGCGCCGCGGCCACTCGCCCACTCCTTCTCCTATTCCGATGGTCGATCCCACACGTGACGGAATTCTGACTCTGCTAAAGGTTTTGATCAAAAATTAAATTTAAGACTGTCAATAAACTATTTTTTTTTTAAATAGGAAATTCGTGAGGAGACTGGAAACAATAGGTCGCCTGTTGGATCCATCGACCCGAACATGCTGTCTGTGGACGGACCAGGCAAGAGCCGCAGCGTCTCTCCCATATTTCTGGCCACCAATACCCTGAAACAGCAGCAGCAGCAGCAGCAGATACACCAATCAACCACCCAACTCTTGCCCAGCGTCCCTGCTGTTGCCAAGGTATAATTTTATTATTTATATTATTTCTTGAAAGATTTCTTGTAATCATAAATTTTAAAATTGCAGATCCAGTCTGAAACTCAGCGTCAAGCTGATACCAAAGAACCGCTTCCTGCTGCCACCAGAGACGCTCCGAAGGTGATCAAGAAAAAGCAACCCTTGGACGAGCCAACCATCTCCATCCCTAGGCCACAGAAGTTCGAAGGCAAGGCGCCTGCCCCTCCCGTGCCCAGCGTCACGAAGCCTCAAGAAAATCCGAGCGTCCCCCGCGTTGAGGTCTCCAAGTCGGCTGAGGCGTCCAAGGCCAAAAAACCTGCCAAAGAACTTGAGCCACCCAAGCAGCCCGAAATGAAGAAACCTGAGCCACCAAAACCTCCGGAGGTCAAGAAACAACCCGAAGCGTTGAAGATGCCCCAAGTGCCCTCTGTCGAAATCACTGCCTCGACCCCGGTGATGCCTCACTCTGGAAGATTCAGTTCCACTGAGCAGCTCATCCCCGAAAGCGACCCACCCTCCCCTGATGTCAGCAACCTGCGAGTTGGTCAAAAGGTGGACGGCGTTTCCACGATCAAAAGGCAACCCAAGACCGGATGGCTGTAAAACCACTGTAGCTTTTTACTGTTTTTATCGTAATCAATGTGAAATTTATTATTGTTTTTGATTATTACTTTTTTAATTTAATTAAATCAGCATGTATTATAATTACCCCAGTTGCCAAAACTGACTTTTATCCGGATATTATCCTCTCCAGAGAATAATAATCCGGATAATTTTTCGATTTTGGCAGCTGGGGTAATCATCTAATTCTTATAATAAGATTGTCTACAGTTTATTCATTTTTAGTATACAAACATTATTAAAATAAATTAAATTCAAAATTAACTAAACACGGATATTTTAAGTTCTGTCGTATTTTGTGTACAAGCAAAAAAAAAATATATAATAATTTGAACAATTTATGAATCGTCACTAAATTGTCAGGAGTGCATGGCGCATGGCGCATGCTGCTTTGGGAATAGTGTAAATTAGTGCATAATATGCATTTGTTGCTGAGGCTGTTAATTATGGCAAGGAAGGATTCCTTTATTTATGTTTTGTGGCCCCGGAAAAATTTAGAACAGAGATCAGGCGGTGACGTCTGCGGCTACCTTCAGCTTCTTGAGCGGATGTAAAAAGCTAATATTATTAATAATTTACGTAATATGAGATCATAAATTTAAAAAAAAAATTATTTTTCTAATTTAATTTTGTTCCCCGGGAATCTCTCTGCTTTGGCCACTGGACTCGATCCAGGGACGTAACTTCAAAGTCGGGGGCCCTCGGACGCTCCTGTAAAGTAGGCAGCGCCTTTGTCACGCACGCATTGTGGGTTGCCTAAAACAGTGGCTTCGGTGGGCCCTTTGACCCCGTGGGCCCTCGGACATGTCCTATAGGAAGTTACGTCCCTGACTCGATCGTTTGGGAAAAATTTTACCTGGTGCACTCTCCATGACGGCGGTCAATTTATTCAATATTATAGTTTATAATAATTGAAATATATTATTATGAAAAAAAAATATAGATGATGAATTTTAAATCCAAACTCAGCACAGTTATTTTGGACATCTTGCGGCCGGTTTGCTTATTACTAAAAACTTTTTCTCAACCCTTCTTTGTCTGTGCTGCCATCTGATCAGAATCCTGTTTAGCGGGAAATATATTTTTGAAAGCTGGAGTGCTGAGTTGGAAGGAAAGGAACAAAACAAAAACGCCGAAGGAACTTGCAGCTAAAATAGTAAGATCATTTGTGAAAATTACGGAAAATTAATCATATTCGTTATCAATCGTTACATGTTTTGAGAACGTGAAAAATTTAATTCATTCAAACGAAAAATTTGTTAACGATAAACATCCTTCCATTCAAGATTTTCGGAGGTTTGAACTTTTGAACGAAACAACTAAGAAAACAACATTTTCCAGGGGACGTCGAAGAGAGATGTTTCGCATCACCCTAACCCTAACATCCTTACTGCTGGCCGTGTTAGCAACAGCAATACCCAAGCAGGACGAGAAGGACGCCAAAAGAATAATTGAAAATGTGAACACTTTGAAGAAAAATAAAATTTAATCTTGGCAGCTTATTTGACGGAGAAACTTATTTTTTCCAGGATCTCAGTCACAAAGAGCATTACCCGAATGAAGAGGCGCATAATGTGGAGTACGACCACGAAGCTTTCTTAGGCCCTGACGAGGCCAAGTCCTTTGACCAACTTTCGCCCGAGGAGAGTCGAAAGAGATTGGGGTATAAATAATAACAACAATATTTTTTATTTCTTTTTATTGATAATTAAATCTTTCAGGGTAATATATGATAAAATTGATAAGGACCAGGACGGGTTTGTTACTCCTGAGGAACTGCGTGGTTGGATCACCTACACCCAAAAGCGGTACGTCATCGACGATGTGGAGAGACAGTGGAAGGCACACAATCCCGAGAACAAGGACGCCATTACTTGGCAGGAGTACAGAAAACTTGTGTACGGTTTCATGGATGGTAAAAAAAAATTATGTTAAATTAAATTGAGTTTGTGTAGATATTTAATTATTAATTTTTTTTATTTTAATATTAATTAATTTAATTTGTATTTAAATTATTAAGTAATATTTTTATTTTCATCCATCAGATACCGATCCAAGTGCTTTGGAAAAGCAGGCTGACGTCGAGCAGGACGACAACGGCTTTTCTTACAAGGAGATGCTGAAGAGAGACAGAAGGAGGTGGAGTGTGGCCGATCAAGACCAGGACGAAGCCCTGACCAAGGATGAGTTTACGGGATTCATTCACCCTGAGGAGGCAGGGCACATGAGAGAACTTATTGTTATCGAAACAATGGAAGATATTGACAAAGATAAAGATGGCAAAATCTCCATTGATGAATATATTGGTAAGGGAAATTAATTTGAAGGTGGATTAAATTAAATTAACACGCAGTAGAATATTTTTTAATACACGGTTTAAATTATTTTTTTGATTCATTCGACGTCAAGCCATAAAGATTTTTTTTTTATTTAAATGAAATGAAATTCTGTATATTTATGGAGTTTTTTTGTAACACTAAAATCACGTCTGCTTTTCTTTCTTTTTATTATTATTGCGAAAATAATATTTTTATTGCCACAATCTTAAAAAATATTGAAAATTAGAAGAAGAAAAATGACGAGTACCACCTGCAGAATTTCTAAATCTTCCATTTCATTAATGTCTACTTATTTTAACTTTTTTATTTTGCTTTTTATAATATATCACAATTCACAATAATTATATCTTTTAAAGGGGACATGTACCGAGGGAGTCCTGGTGAAGAGGAGCCAGAATGGGTGAAGAGCGAGAAAGACCAGTTCGTGAGGTTCAGAGACAAAGATGCTGATGGTTTCATGGATAAAGAAGAGGTTAAGGGTTGGATCATCCCTCCCGAGTTTGACCACGCTGAAGCCGAAGCAAGGCACTTGGTTTATGACGCAGACTCCGATAAGGATGGGAAGTTGACGAAAAGCGAGGTTCTCGACAAGTACGACCTGTTCGTCGGGTCGCAGGCTACTGACTTCGGAGAGGCCCTCACAAGACATGATGAGTTTTAGTCACCGTGTCAAAGTCCTACACCAAAGATCTGACTATAATGAGCACCTCTCTTTGTATTTTTTACTACAGAAAAGTTGATAATAAGGACCGACATTACTTTCTCAAAACAACGCCACAGGTGCCAAACTATGTAATTAATTAATAATGTCAATTATCAAGTTAACTGCAGCTTATTTGCATTTCTTACTGAATGTAGTGGAGTTGAAGGAAACTTCAAATTTTTATTACGTTAAGATTTAACAGATTTAATATAATATATAAACACTAATTATAATTAGTCGAACTTAATAATAATAAATTAAATAAGATTATACATGACTTTATTTTTTTTTCTCTCTCAATTATGATTTTGACGAATAAACAATAATAAAATAAATAAAAGCAAAAAAAAAAGCTAGGATTATAAAAATTAAATTGTTTCTCACAGCATAGAAGAACATTATTTAAAAAAATTATTTCCCCATAACTTTTGAATTCTGAAAAGACCGCGCGGGTAATTATATACAATAAAAACAACATGATAAAATTAAATGGATTACAATCCTTTATCTTAATAGTGTAATTTGCTATATTGCAAGGAACCAATTAAAATTAAATGTTTTCAATTATTATTTGGTGTTCATATTTACTTTCTTTTGCATCGCAAACTGCAAAACTGACGTCATATTTTTTTCTGCAAAATAGCTATGCTGTTGGCAACATTGAAGTAGCGTTTCTGATTTCGGCCATTTACATCCGGTCCGGTCTTCAATCTGCTGAAGTTGTTTCCAGCAGGTGAGGCATATTTTTTTGCCGAAATTCCCACAAATTAAACGTTCTGTCCGCGGAATCTGATTATAATCATCGTCTTTAATACCTGCGTTGTTGAAAAATTTCTGAAATAACTCTTTCAACCACGTTATTACCCATTATTTTCAATCTCGTTTAATCCACGTGTTCATCTTTCAATGTGACATGTGCACGTATTAGTGCATTATTTTCAATCGACTTTCTCATCTTCCAGGTTTCAAAGATGACCAACTCCAAGGGATACAGGCGGGGTACCCGCGACATGTTCTCGCGGCCCTTCAGAAAGCATGGTGTCATCCCCCTGTCTACATACATGAAAGTGTACAGAGTCGGAGACATTGTTGACATCAAGGTGGATACAAGCCATTTTACTCCTGCCATTATTAGGGTCGCACTTGCTGCTGTTTTTCTAACTAAGCATTGAACTTTCAGGGTCATGGTGCAGTCCAAAAGGGTATGCCCTACAAGGTTTATCACGGAAAGACTGGCCGTGTTTACAACGTCACTCAACACGCTCTTGGTGTCATTGTCAACAAGAGGGTGCGCGGTAGAATCATTCCCAAGAGGTAATTTAATTTTAAAATCTTAATAAATAATGGAAATAATGTTTGACGATAATTTTTAGGATTAATATCCGTATTGAGCACGTCAAGCATTCGAAATGCAGAGAAGATTTCTTGAGGCGCGTCAAGGAGAATGAACTCAAGCGCAAGGAGGCCAAGGAAAAGGGAGTCAAGTGTGACCTCAGGAGACAGGTTATATCTTTAAACCACCATTTCATAGAAAAAGTCATTTCCATCACAATTATAAAGCTTCGTTTAATTTTTGTTACAAGCTCTCATTGTGTGTACCCATTCCGAGCATGTAACAATTTAAATTTTCCCTGGTTGATGCTTGATCCTTGTTATTGTCATGATTTAATAATTTATAATTTTAAATGCTTATGTTCTTATTTTATTTTTGTTTTCAGCCTGCCCAGCCTAGGAAAGCACACATTGTCAGCGGCAAAGTGGAACCTGTGATGCTGGCACCCATCCCTTACGAGTTCATTGCTTAATTCTAATAAAGTATCTCCTTATTGTGTATATCTTGTGTTTTTGTTCTATTTGGAAATCTATCAATTGCTGCGATTAAAAAAGTACTTTAAATTAGTACTTTTACGTTTTTCTCTAAAAAAATACTGTCGAAGCAATGAAGAAAATTGTGATATTTGGGAAAATATTGAATGGTGGGTGAAATTAAAGGGTGAGATACTCACTTAAGATAAAATCATGGTGGAATAGCCAGAAAAAAAGTATTTTTTGAAAAGACTTTTGACGCACTGCAGAGTTGAAAATTTGCTCAAAATTTATTTCACCAACTAGTGCACCATGACTCCATCAGTGAATGCATACAGCGACCCTCCCATTTCATTCACCTTCAATATTTTTTCTGATATCCTATTTTATAAGTTGACAATTTAATTTTTTAATTGCCACTTGTGTAAGGTAATAACAAGTAATACTAATTATTGTGAACTTCTAAATCAAAGGTTTTTATAATTTGAATCCTGGGCTTATAATGTATAAAAAAATAAGATTTTTCAATTCAGACTAGGCACAAATAACAATGGGTTAAGTTCATTTTATTTTTATTGCTATTGCCAACAAAAAAAGCATCCATTTTATAAGATTTATTCAGTTAATTTGCGATTTATTAAAACTGTAGTATCCAGCTACTACAATGATAACAAGGAAAGAATTATAGTTCGTTAAGTATTTACACTTTACAGGGTGAGCTATCATTATTAAAGAATAAAAATTGAAAAAAAAAAACAAAACAATTTTCAAGAGTTGCCATAACACAATCACAGATGAGAAGTATTTACCTAAAAGTCTGTACACTATGAAGAGTACTCCCTTGACTGGTAGAAAAGAATGTACCCAGTCTCTGATGACTTTTGAATATCTGATGTGAGACCGTAGAAGTCTTCGATGGTGGATGCATCGATTTTCTGAAGGAATTTCATATTGAATTTGAAATTAAAAAATCCTGCGTAAACTTACATCAACCATGTCATCATCGAAGAGCAGCCAGAAGCTGTGACTCTTGACTATGCTGATGTAGTGGCCTCTGTTAGGGCCGCTGCCACAATGGATTACCACAGCTACTAGGTCATACGGCCTCTCTGGAGGGTTTGCCATGTCATCACTCTGCGTTTTTTCCCAAATAAATTTCAATTTATCATTAGGAAAAATTAAGTAGCTCACTGTATTATCGTAGAGTCTTAATTCAAAAGGAAAAACTACTCGGTGAGAAACTTTGATGTGCCTGTTGTACTGCTCAACATACTTAAATCTTTTTAGGTGCAAAGCTAGTATCATAGGAAACTTTTTGACTCGCATCCATTTCTGCAAAATTAATTTATTTATTTCGCTTCAAAATTTCATCGATTATAATTTCTCACCTGTGCTTCTTGATAACTGCGGCAGTTATCACATTTGAATTTGTTATCACTGCACAGAATCTCAGTGTTGGAAAAACATCTAAGACTGTGATTTATATTTGTATTCTGTTCTACGTCTACTTGAAGGTCAAAGAAATGCTCATCTTTACTGCTCACCTGCAAAATAATTTGTAATCGTGGCAATGGGCTAGTATTTTTATTCCTTACAGTTTCACAGTTCAAGCAGCGAGTTTCACTAGTCATAATACCTTGGAATATTTCATGTACCCAAGTTGGCTCAGGTTGGGAATTGGGCATTTCAGCAGGAACTAGGCTTTTCCCTTTACCCTGCTGAATATTTCTCTCGGCTGAACAAAAAAAAATAATAATAAATCTTGTTGTTTTCCTTGACTACAATGAAATGCTCTTACCAAGAATGATTTCACTTATGTGATTGATGAGGAAGTTCAAAAATTCATGTGCATCTTGCTGCATGTAGTTGTCAAACTCCTCTGAAGCATAATTTGCGATAAATACATATTTTTCGTTTTAAATTTTTACAAACCTTTTTCTTTCCGCAAACGAGCGATGAACTTTTTTGGCGCTATTGACCCAACCTTTTTCTTCTGTGTGGCTATGCTGTGAAAGAGGTCAGCCAGACAGGTCAGTAGAGTCTCCTTTGGGCGTTTATTGCGTGCCTTGTACTCAAGGACCTTGTCCCGAAAAGGCTTGCAAAAATACAATGCTTGGAGCACCGAATTGCAGTAACAAGTATTGCCAAACTGAAACGCACATTGCCAATATTAAAAGTCAAAAAGCGCTTCTTGCATAAATATGACGGGAAGAAAGTTTCAACAAAATTTGCAATTTTCCACTTACGTTGACAAGGCCAAAGTAATGTTCATTGGGCGGGAACTGATCTGAACCAATGTCCCTCTCCAACTGGGAGATGTTGGTGCCCTGAAATGAAAAATTCGTGAAGAATCATTTTTGACGTGCTGATATTTTTGTTCTGTGGGGAAAATAAGGTGCGAGTGTCCGCTGTCGAGCGGCCGGTTTCGCTAAAAATTTGCTCAACTCACCATCCTAGCAGCTGCTTTAGGATTGCATCAAGTCATTCATCGCACTCAAATTGCTTTTAAGCGCAATGAACGACCTAATCAACATTATTTTGCAGAGAATTCAAGCATCAATTAAAATCTTCTCAAAAATTTGGCAGCCATCTCGCAATTTGAACTCAGCTGATACGCCAGCGCCATCTTTGCCCTCTGCCCAAAACTAAATCAAACCAAACAACAAGAACAAGAAACAGCAGCAAAACATAAAATTATGTATGTGTATATTTATTTTCTCCGTGTTTTGATATTGTAAAGAAACTGGAACAAAATCAAAAAACGACATACTTACGCTCTGCTTGCGCTGAAGGTATTCATACTCTTTAAAAAAAAATTAAATATTCTAGATAAAAACCCCAAACCCCTAAAACACACCCTCCATTAGTTCCATTCCTCATCAAAAGCAGCCTTCGTCAGACCAGAAATCTTGGTGGTTGGTCCTTCTACAAACTATAGGTGGTAGGTGTCCCATTTTAATGTTAATGACAATTATTTATAATCCCACACGTCATACGACGTCCCACGCAAATACTTTTATCATCAACGCATGTTTGCTTAAAGGATTTGAGCCAAGTGTCTAATTTTTCAGATGTCGATCACCATACAAGAAATTTTGCTCGACGCTAAGCGACTTGCCTGCCGATTAAAAGAGCATGACTCGGCCGCGGATGAACTGCTATCACAATCCCAGAGTGTCTTCAGACAAATTGATGCAATGAAACAGGTTTATAATCTTAAAAAAATCCTCCGGAAATGACTAAAATTTTCTTTCCTAGTACCAAGAGGATCTGTGCGACTTGAGTGAAGTTGCTGGGACGAGGCCCCAGAGAGCTTTGGTTGCAAGCATTCAGCAGGAGAACAGGCAGCTGAGGGAGCTGCAACAGGAGAACAGAGAGTTACGAGCCTTGCTGGAGGAGCATCAGAACGCGTTGGAGTTGATCATGTCCAAATACAGACAACACGTTTCCCAGCTGATCAGAAATTCTCACGTTGACTTTGAAAAATTGACCAACAGTCAATTAACACAAGTACTTTTAGTTTTAATTTTTTTTTTTTAACTTATTATCTTTTGATTTTATTGCAGAAAACTGTCGATCAGGCTGACAAAATAAGTGAAATGGCCGCTGTGATGCAGCATGCGTTAAAACTGGATGAGAATGATGCCAATAGAGACGAAGAATTGGTTGCTAGGCTCATTACAGAGAACAAAGTAAGACTTTAGTTGGAAATTAACTAAATTTAGTCAATTAGTGCACAGCAACCTCAGCCGAAATCAATGCAAAAGTCGTAATCGAAAAGGGAAACTTTAAAAATTGGACTCAAAATTTAAGTCAACACTCCAAAAATAAATAAATTTTTTCAACAAAGAACAGACTCCTGCTTAGCAATTCTAACTTATTGTGCTTTTTTTTTTTAATAGAGTGCTCTTGATTTTATTCTTTTATTTGTACACGTTTCTACATTCTCTGTTTTCTTTTTATCCTCAAAATATTTTGAATTTCTTTACCTAATCTGCTTTTCCCTCCCTCTGGAAGCAGAATATTTGTGGCCACAGTTCTGAAGTCTGTGATTTGTTTGTGATATTTCCTTCCTTTTCTTTACTTCGGCACTGCGGATTTCCGCCGGCAGCTTGGTGCACTATTTAAAAAGCTGTCACTTTCGTAACAATTAAGATCCTTGTCATTTTTAGGGGTTGCAAATTTTATAAGCAGAGTATTAAAAATTCTTATGATCATACAACCATATCCTAACTTTCAGAACCTGAGAGAACTGGTCCAAATATCTACACAATATGGTTCCTTACCAGAAGTAGATGAGGATGGAAAGGATTCCTGACCAACAAACTGAGGAAACATCAGGTTTTGGGGTTATGATTTTTTATTTAATTTCCTGCAAAGCTGTTAAAAAAGATTTTGTTTTAATCTAAATTGCTACCTGTTTAATTTGTTAAAGAAAAACTTGTGACATAAAACTATTAATAAGCTAATAATGATAACATTATGTTAATAAACTCTCCTAATCAAAATTCAGATTTTTTCTTGGCCTTAGCGGTGGTTTTGATACATAAATTGTGCCAGATTACCTTTATTTATTTATTATTTATACAGGAAATAAATATTTAGCAAAAACAGCTTCATTTTTTAATTAATGATATTTTATGAAATAATTATAATAAACTCTATTAAAGTTTCGCGCGCGTTTTAGAAAATTGTTTGCTAGCAGAAGGTGCTGCTGTTCACATTTGGTTATCTATTAACATGTATGACTTAAATTATGATGAATAAAAAATATTAATAAACATCGGAAATTTGACTGGTTTTTCGTCTATAAATCGATCTTTTTATTTTTGAAACTTAATAAAACAGAACGAGGAATTTCTGGACAAATTGAGAAAACAATTAATAATATGCAGTTGTTTTTTATTATTAAAAAAAAATATGTTATTTTTTATGATGTTATTTATGAGTTTTATCAATTCAACTAAATATTTTTATTTTTATTATTTTATTATCAAATTAATATGATTTAAATGAAAGAATTATGAAGAGTGGTATGCGTTGTGTGGAACACTGTCTGTAGCTGTGTAATATCATGATTTTTTATTTCATCGGATCTCTTTATATTATGGTGTGATACAAATATTACACATAAATTCTGGTTTTTATAATAATTCTTTTGTTAAAGCCTTTTTTGCGGTATGTACAACTAAAAACTACGAAACATTCCACTTTTTTACTCTATGAAAAGTATGAAATATCGAATAAGAAATCTCAGTTTTCCCGCCAGCTTATATTTAAATATCTCACAGGTTGACGTAAACTTTTTTATCATGTATAATGACCAATGAGCGAAACGCATAGGTTGGTTTTACGTCAGCCTTGGAATGCGAAACAACACCGGAAACAAGAATTCTCCATCTTTGATTTCTTAGATCGAGCGGCAAAAGATACGTCGCAGTTTCTTCACAAGCAATCAAGGTAATTTTGGGTTAATTATCATTGACTTTGGTGTTTTCTCCGACATTGTTTAACATTCTCAGCAAATTTCACTAAGAAGCTTAAAAAAACTGAAGGATTCCCAGTAGTATTCGTGAAAACGGAGTGTTATTGCTACGCGGAAAGCCATGTGGTCCGAAAAATTTTACCGATGAGGTTTTGACTCTTTTATACTTCAAGAATAATGTAGCTAATTAATCTAAGAACGCAGATGAAATTTGCAATCATAATTTTGTGTAAGCGAGCACGAGACTTCCTTTGACGCTTCGGATTTAATTTTAATTTGTTGGCTGTTGATGAGATTTTTTGCCGGCATTGCCATGGCCGTCACGAAACAATTTGTACGTCACTTGGGCCTCATGTCAAGACAGAAATAATCACAAATCTTCCGCTTGTTCATGCCTTAATGTTTCACTTGAATATTTGAATCACGACTATTTTACATTCTGAAATTACAATCTCTCCTCAGATGGCTGCTGACAAATCTAAGGATGATGTTGAATTGGACGAGATGGAAGATGAAGAAGAAGCTGGAGAAGGGGTCGCTATCACCAAACGCGGTCTTCCAGGATCATTGACGGCATATCAGAATTTCCTGGAGATGATGCAGGTAAAATAACAAAATAAATTGAGAAATGCAATGTTAAAAAAATTATTCATCTACTCAGGCATTGTCACCATCGGTCAAACGCAGACTCAAAGCTCTGAAGAGGCTGCAGTTTGAATCAACCAAAGTGGAGGCTCAGTTCTACCAAGAGTATCATGAACTTGAAATGAAATATCAGTCTCTCTATCAGCCATTCAGGGATAAGGTTTTACAAATTAAGAGGTGGTTGTTTTCAGTGTTATTAACAAACTTTTTCCAGCGTAAGGAAATTGTGTCTGGTACTCATGAGCCCACCGATCAAGAGGCAGAGTGGCCCTCAGATGACGAAAAAGAAGACGAGCTCTGCTCTGACGCCAAGAGTAAGATGAAGATTGAGGATGTTGCTGCGGAAGGCAAGACTGCTACTGAGGATAAGAATAAGAAGAATGAAAGCGAGAAGGGAGTACCAGATTTCTGGCTCACCATCTTCAAGAATGTTGGCATCTTGGCCGAGATGATTCAGGAACATGATGAGCCTATCCTCAAGCACCTCAAGGACATTGTTGTTACTTTAACTGATAAGCCAATGGTAATTTTAACGATTTTATAAATGTCAAGAAAAATATATCTAAATATAAATTCAAACAGGGCTTCAAACTTGACTTCTATTTTACTCCAAATGAGTTCTTTAACAACTCGGTGCTGACTAAGTACTATGAAATGAAATGCGAGCCTGACGAGGCCGACGCATTCAGTTTTGAAGGTCCAGAGATAGTGAAGTGTTCAGTAAGACAATCTTTTTCATTATTGTTGCAAATCTAATGAAGAATAAATTTAGGGCTGCACAATAGACTGGAAAAAGGGCAAGAATGTCACAGTGAAGGTGGTCAAAAAGAAGCAGAAGCACCGTTCCAGAGGTTCTGTTCGCACTGTCACCAGAACTGTTCAGAACGATTCGTTCTTCAACTTCTTTGAGCCTCCAACTGGTAAGTTGCTATCATATAAAAATTAATTGGTTTTTAACCATTTTCAATTTGGAATTTCTAAGGTTTCGCAAAATAAAATTTTGATTTATGAAAATGTGTGGATACGGAAATTCTCAGTTGTCTTGTGCTCTTAGTTTGCCAAAAATAAAAAAAATAGATCCACTTGTCTTCAACGTTCTTCTAATTGGTTGAACAAAAAATTAGGTGCCATGACATAAATTAGTGAATCTTTTGCTAAACTAAGACGATGAGTTTGAGAATTAACACTAAATTTAATTTTTTGTTTCAGTTGAAGATGCAGAAAATGAAATGGATGAACACATACAGTCTCTTCTAACAGCTGACTTTGAAATAGGCCACTATATTCGTGAGAGAATTGTACCCAACGCGGTGCTCTTCTTCACAGGTACGTTGGATTTCAACTATTCCTGTTTTCAATTTAGAAATTCTTTTGACGGGTTATGATTAAAAATGTGTTTCTCTTCTTGATGTAGGTGAGGCTTTGGAAGATGAGGAATATGAAGAAGAAGAGGAGATGGAAGACGAGGATGAAGAAGAAGGCGAGAACGAGGGAGGTGGTGTGATCAACAAGTCCTCAATTCGTAACGCTGCTGCTGGAGCCAATCCGAACGAGTGCAAGCAGCAGTAAATCGCCTTCTTGTGCATTGATAGGACCATAATGTACCACAATATTTTCCTTGCTACAATCTCTCCTTTTTTGACAACATAATATAATTTATTTAATTGTCGGTCAGTGAAATAGAACACAACAGTTATTACTTTCGGGAATGCTCCTTTTAAATTGATAGGGTTATGCTATTTTTGTTTCTGGCCAGCCGGAATATTTTTCAAGTATCTGAACATCCTGTACAATCTCTGATAGCGTAAGCAGCTACAACACTCACTTTGGCCTAATTTTTTGAAGTCGATTGAATTTTATTTGGATCTTTCTACGTTACCTAGAGCGCGAGCGATTAAATTGCATACTTTATAATACCTTGTACTTTTTTATTTAATCACCTATCTACCAAATTGATTGTTTAATATGTTTACTTTTTTATCCTAGTCCAATTGATAACGTTGATTAAATATTATTAATATTTTTACATAATAATAGCAATTTAATGGATCAGTTTTTGCTAAAAAGTCAGAAAGCGTATGTAAAATAGCAGGTGATGCCGGTCATACAACGGTCAATCAATTATTTTGCCAATAAAATAATAAAAGACCTCATCACAATTAACGACCTTGCACCTTTTAATCGCGGCAGGAACGTCACGTTGGTCCAAGGCGCATGCCGTGGATCGGCGCATGCTGGCTGGGCGGCTCGACTGGCCTGCAAAATAGAGCGACAAGAGCGCCTCTGCTGGTGACGAGATATTGACAAACAAAGCACGTATGGAGTAACTCACTCGCGAGGAACACAAGAAAAACACGCGAGAATGGCTGAATTAACAGTTTGGGGTCTCGTGGTCATGATCACACTGTCCGAAGTGATCATCAACACATGCAATTTCATCCACGGGAACAGCCACGGTGAGTCTGGGCGGACCCTGGGCCAGCTGCAAAATTTGGCACATTTTGCACTACGTTCTGCTCTGCACTCGCAACTCGTCGGACGGAGATAGACACACACGACAAATCTCCCCTGCAATACTATCTATTTGTCTATTTTTAATTCGGTGTTAAATCATCATCGTTGCATATTGAACGACCACTTTGCATTGCCTCCTTCTGCGGCGGCCTCGAGAGAGAAGTGTAAATTTCGTGTTATCGGCCACATACGTTTTACGCCAGTTTATTTTCCTAGCTGGCAGGCAAAATCTTCAATCTCTTGAGGCGTGAAAGTTACACTATCTGATTCAGATATTTAAGTACATATTAAGATTTATGCGTTAGCAGCTAACTTGGTTGTCGGACCAGATTTTGACTTACAAAATATTATGCTGTGTTTCCTGCTGTTTTTAATCAAAATGATAGAAAAAAAATCAATTTAGTAATAAAACAATATTAGAAAAACAATCTGAGTGTCCGTTAGATCACATCATTATTAGATTTCTCAATAAAATCTATGTCAAATTTTGTTTTTTTGTGCCGCATCAATTTTGTATAAAGTTTTTTTTATTTTTGTGCTGTCAGTTTTATCAGACAAGAAATATGGCAAATGTTGTGAAACTAAAAGCTAGGCTCGCGCAACTCAAACACAAGTATCACATATAATTCATAATCCAAAACAACTTTCCTATGAGCCAAAATGACTACAAGACAAATTGAAACTTCTTATATTTTGTGAAATTTTTCTGCTTTCTTCTTCCAGGTTACATACCACAAAGTAACGACGCAAGGTATTTGCAGATAGACCCCCTGCACAATGGTGTTAGGTAAGCCTTATTTTGTCAAAAATTCACTGCGTGATTGATACAATTTTCTTAATTCCAGGATATCAAAATACGAAGAGGATGTTTTCGCATCGAGCTCTCTTCTTTCTCTGACACCGCGCATGCTGGACTTCAAGGATAGGTAAATGAACAATTAATTTTATACGGTCCAGATTTTATTTTAATTTTAATGTCTTTTATGAAGACCACTTGGAGTGCCTCACCAGGAAAAGGTGACAGTGTTGAATACTGACAGCAACAAGACCATCCACCTCACCTCAATATCGGGCACAACGCCTCATTTTCACTGTTCGTTCTTTGAAGACAAGGTATAGTTAAAAAAAACTCCCTTAACGCTGCTATTATTAATTCTTAATTTCAGGTGGTGCCGCCCCTGGGGAACACGAGTTTCAGCGTCGTGTTTCTTGGCAGAGAAGAGGGTCTGGCCGAGAGTATGCTCTTCATCCACACTTCGGAGGGCACAGTCAAGTTCCAGGTCAAAGGCAACAGTGTCAGCTCACCGTATCGGTTACGACCGCTGGTTGGCCTCCAGATGCCCATCAACGCCAGTTTCTCACCCCTCATCCACATGCACAACCCACATCCAAATCCCATTCAAGTAAATTTTTTTTCATTTAGTTGGAATTATTTAATTAAATTAATGTATCGGCAGATAATGGAGATATACAGCAGTGGAGGAGAGGTGAACCTGGAGTTGCCAACCGGTGAACTCGAGGCTGTCAAAGAGCTCTGGGAAATCCAGCCTTTCGAGACCAAGGCTGTGATCCGAGCAAAGTTCATGGCCAATGTGCAGCGTAATCACACCTGCTACCTGAGGATCAGAGTCAACGGCACCACCGAGCACCTTGTTGTGCCGTTTGAGGTGGAAGTCGGTTCTTCTGCAGGGCTTTACCCACCAGAGCCAGCCATCGACCTCGGAGTTTTAGGCTCCGAGTATGGCCCGAAGAGGTTTCCCATCTCGCTCCTCAACTCGAGCAAGAAAAGCGCTGTCATTCAGGTGATGTTTAAATTTTAAATTTACAACTTCCAACTCGTCAACAAATCGGTCACTATTCAGATGTGAGGAATAAAATTTACTAGAGAAAAATAAGCAGAAAGAGGATTGAAACAATTTATTTATATTTTTAATACAATACAAAATCGTCAAAATCTATTCAATATTATAAGAATTATTAGTAGCTGAATAGTAGTATAATAACTTGGGAAAAAAATCAAATTTAAATACACTATTTCTGCCATTTTCATTGTTTATTTAAATCCAAATAAAAAGGTAATATTTGTAGACAGAGTTATTTGAATGTAAAAAATTGAGGATTTATTTATTTGAGTTTTTACACAATGAGGAAATGCTTAATTTTTATTTTCTCAAACATGAATTTCTAAATAAAAGTAAATTTGCATTAGTTATCAACTACGTCTTCATTTAATACTTTTGTATTCTGTTGAGATATTGTATTAATCCAATCTATTTAAGAAAGGAAATACAAAAATTAAAAATTATGATTGGTACTGTTACAGAGTGTTTACACGGAACCAGCAACTGATGCTGTCAAAATTGAATTCGAGAGCTTGAAAGTCCCACCAGACTCAAAAGTGGCAACTAAAATTGCGAGCATCACATTTTACCGTGAGTTGCGTTATTTTATCATTATTTTTTTTAAAAAGCTTTTTATTAAATTGGAGCGCTTCGAGTGTGGATGTTGGAAGTGATGCCAACAGCCTTGAAACTTAGTTTTATGAGTGAACTAAATTCACATTCCCAGGATGTGGTCGGTGGGATTGTTGAATGTTTCTGTCAGGACTCATGGTCCACTTCCCCAGCTGGAAACCATTAGAATGCAATTTCCTTATAATCTTGGTTTGATAGGTCTTTTGTGTCTCATTTTAAGTAACAATTGGCAAAAAATAAACTTCAGAATATTTTTTTTCTGTCAAGCTAGTTAAATCCAAATTATGAACTGTATCATTTTAGTTCAAAGATTTTTTTTACTTAAACAACACAGCACCTGCTTAAAATTTTCATTCCATCGTCCAAAAACTTTTTAAAAGCTCCGTATGTGTACCTTGTTTTAATGATAATTTATCCTGAAAGAGAAAATTAATAATGATTTACTTTTAATTTTTTCAACAGCTGATATTGCGTACAAAGAAAAACACTTTTCTGGCACTATCGTGGTCAAGGGCAAGAACAAAATCGTCATCCCTTACCACGTGGTTGTGCTGCCTGGAGGTCTCAACTACAACGCTTCGTTCGCAAGCTTCTGCTTGGACGAGGTCATAGCATCACGGAACCTGACTGTCTGGAACACTTTCCACTACCCTGTGGTCATCAGCAATGTCACCCTTGCTGCAGACGCTAATAAATACTTTCAGGTAGTTCCAGAAAAATTACTGTACGCTCAGATTATATTTTATACAAATTTACAGATAAGCAATTTTACCGCACAAGCCATCAAGCCCGGCATGAACGTGACCCTCTTCCAGCTGATTCCGAGGTCAAAGTCTCCCATCCCAAAAGGTTTCAGACTCGAGTCTTCTTTGGAAATTGTGACAAACGTTTCGGTCATTTCTGTGCCGGTTCTGTGTTATGACGGGAAAATTGTGAAGGTAAATTGATTTTAATAATTCTTGCAATAAAACATGTAAAAACATCAACCAGATTTGGCTGCGGCAAAATGTTGAGAGCAATGTTATGTTTTCTAATACTTCACTACGTACTTTCAAACTGGCAATTAATTGAATTTATGATATATTAGATGATAGCTGAGAGAGACAGGGGCGAAGAAGAAGAGCCGACCCTCGATTTGGGCTTGATGGCAACCCGCAGTGAGCGAAGTGTTGAGTTTATTCTGCACAACCCGAACCCGGTTCCGATAGTCATAAAGGCCATCGGCGTAGAACCCGTGCGGGGTGGTGACCTGGAGACGACCCTCCTGCTGCTTGGTACGGGCAAAACAAGTCACAAAGACGTAATGGAACAGTGGTTCACGTCCCCTATGAATTTGTCCTCTGATGTAAGTCAAAAGTTTCTTATCATTGTTATCCACATTGTTTATTTATTTATTCAAATCATTTTGTTTGCATTCAATTACTAGAAAACAACTCGTTTGAAAAAAAAAGATTTTTTTTTATATTTTCTTCTTCGAAACATCGTTTTGGGAATCAGTCTTGAAATAGAAGTGGGAAAACCGAAAACGGCTGTGATGGTTAAATATTGAAATTCTCAGCCATTTTTGTTGCTATGATGGCACAATTTTGCAATGTGCAGCCTATTATACATCCTGGACTCAAACTTGAACAGGGAGTGGCTAGAAATTTCATGATTTGGTTTTATCATCCAAACCACAACATTATTGATTAAAACACATATCGCTTGGAAAAAAATTCTGTAACAAGGTTGCTTATTTTTTGTTAGCACTAAAACAAGTTGTCTGAGTTGAGCCAAATTCACTCTTATGAGCTCAAGCGCCTGACAAGCGCAATCTTGAGTGATTGCAAGCGGAATTGAGTGCAAAATTGCGCTTTTAAAAATCAAAATGCTCAAAGTTGTTTGAGAATTTCTTCCAATTGCGGAATAACAAATTTTCCTCAATTGTTTTTATTATTTAGTGAGTTAAAAAAAATTAGAAAATTAAAAAAAGAGTTTACAATAACCAATTGTCTGCTAAAATGCCACGTTGTAAACCCACGCACGCACGCTACCGATAAAAAAACAATAATTATGTTTCTGTTTTTACTGGCTTATTGTTTCATAGAATACAATAATGCTTTTTTTCTGTGGGCTGCAGCCATAATTCTTGAGGTTGAATTAAATTATGGTTGTTGCTAACATCTGAAACCCTCAATAGTGATATTCTTCTCCCGAAATAACCATGTTGATTATCTGTTTTTTTACAGAACGTGATCCAGTCAAAGGGATTTGCAGTCTTCAAGTGCCAAATACTCACAGGCTACGAGGAAGGCTACTTTTCGGGGGAACTGGTTGTCAAGACAAAATTCGAGACCATGCTGTTGCCTTTCAGACTCAAAGTCTCTAAGGGGCAGCTGCGCCTTGACCCATCTGAGATCCTCTTCGATGACGCTTTCCCAGTAATTGAACTAAATTATTTTCAAGCAAATATAATCAATTTTACAATTTCAGCAATATGAATTTTAAAAATTTATCTCATTTCCCCCTTAATTTTATAAAATAAATTTCACTTGAAGCTTTTTAATCGGTGCTATTTTTTTGTTAAATTTTTTAGGGGAGAAAATCAGTACAGCGACTTGTGCTCCACTCAGAATTTCAGCAACACATGCGGATTGTGTCTCTGGGCGGCCGCGATGAGCGACTTACCTTCATCAAAATTGCAGACGTCGGCGTCAAACCGTTTTCATCTTCAACAATAGGAGAGCTACTTTTCGATCCCCAGGTCACATGCCCTGGAGTTTGTTACCTAGGCATTGATTATGACACTCAAGGTTGAATAATTTATCCTCCTTCAAACAACTGCATACTGAATTTGGATGATTCCACAGCTGGCCAGAGATGGTTGGAGGGGTTGTCAATGCAGCCGAGCACGTGGCGGAGCGACCTGGAAATTTTGAACACCTTCTACTCGAGGTTCAGAGCCTCGGGGGCAATGCAGTGGGTCAACACAACTCTAAGACTGGACACCACCGAGGTCAGGGGTCACTTGGTTCCTCTGTCCACAAGACTGATCTGGCCATCACTCATCACCTGCGGAAAGCACATAGATTTCCCTCTGACACAAGTAAATTAAGCTATAATAAAACAATCTTATTACTTCCTTTCTTTGCTAAAATATCATGAATGCATAAATATGTTATTGCACTTAAACTCGGTGTTTTTCTAAACCTTGTGCTTTTGCTCAGAAGTGCGTTTGCATTAAAATAAAATAAATTAAATCACCACCACCAATAAAAGGCTAACAAGAAAAAGAATGATTTAATAACATTTTCATAAAAAAATTCTTATGCATTTTTTTTTTATTAGGTGGGCAATTCCTCGAAGATAACGTTGCACCTCTACAACCCGTCGGATAGCCCTTTAATCGTACAGTTGGTCATCGGAGACTTGTATGCACCCATAGATGAGATTCATCAATATTTACCTGAAGAGTACGTCTTTTCAAAAATTTTGAAATTCCCATTCATTTCATTTTCTTTTGCAGTTTGCAACCACCAAATGCGTGTGGTGAAGACAGGGGTGAATTCAAAGTCGTCAAGGATGAAGGAGAATTTGAAAATCTGCAGCACAGTTCACTGGACTGGATAAGCAACTCCGATGACGAAAACTCGTTCATAGGGACAAAACCACACCAGGACAGTGTCACCTTTGTTCTGGAGCCGGGGGCCGAGTACCCCGCAGTGGTTCAGTACACGCCCAGGGACACCCATGCGGCCAGTTCGCTGCTCTACGTGAAGAATAACTTGACCGTCGTGGAAATCTTCAGGCTCTCGGGTCAAGGAGCGGTGGCTCAGTTTAAATTCGGGAATCGCAAATCGGGTGTCTCGCCTCCCCTGCAGTTCGACATGCCAAAGAAAATTGAAAAGGAGTGCCGCAAGGGCGTGTGGAGTCAAAACATCATTCCGATGCTGAGCGTCAAACGCTCCTTCACCGCCAGAAACACTGGGGAGCTCCCGGTCTACGTGTCCAACTTCCACATCAACAATCTTCCCTGTGAGGGGTACGGATTCAAAGTGTCCCGGTGCCAGCCCTTTCTGCTGCCTGTGAATGGCAGCAGAAAAATTGAGCTCGCCTTCACCCCCGATTTCACCTTGGCCAGAGTTCAGCGAGTTTTGAAAATCAGCACGAGTGTGGGCGGAGTCGACGGAGGCGTCATGAATTACACGTTGGTGGCGACGGTTCCTGCCGACCTTCTGGGACCCTGTTCAAAGACTCTGCCGAGACCGCCGTGGGAGAAGAATATTTACATGTTCATCACGGCCTTCATGCTCATCCTTCTGGCGCTCATAATGGCAGGGGCGCTTGTTGAGGCAGAGAGGATTCACAAACTTGGTCTCACCAGCGTTTCGGCAGCACTCTCCAAGTAAGTTTCTCTTAAAAATTAATGAAAATACGCAATGAAAATCACCCTGATTGTGTAAATTTTGTGTCTGTCCCATGGATGGACAATGAAATTTCTGCAACTGGGACAAAATGATACATTAAAATTAAATAACGAAGAGTAAATAAACTATAGTTTAAATTGCTTTGTAAATGTTTTGTTTTTCAAATTGAAAACTTTGAATTTCAGAAACAGGGTAACCAGCAATGGAGTGATTCTACCGTCCCCGCAGTCGTCGTTGTCCTCATTGGCAATGTCAACGTCCTCCATTTCATCATCGTCTTCATCGAGTAGTTCGTCCTCTCCGACCTGTCAAACAACCAAAATCACAGCCGAACCAATAAAAACGAAGAACAAAGAGTTTGATCAGGAGATGGATACTGCACAGCCAAGACACCACGACGCCAAGGAGGTGACGAAAATGTCGCCGCAGCCGGCGCACGTGAAAGTGGTGCGACGGAAACTGAGTAAGAAGCAGAGCAACTCTGATGTGCCAGACAGCAGCCCTGAGAATCCGCCGTCGCCACCGCCGGCCAAGGAGATCAGACGGAAGGGCGCGTGGACGGACATGTTCGGTCGCGGGGCCAAAAGCAAGGAGCTCGAGGCGGAGACCAAGAAAATAGTACAAAAAGTCAAGAGAGCCAGAGCATGCGAGTCAGCAACCACTTCCACCACCTCTGGCGAGGGAAGTCCAACGCCGAGCCTCGAGGAGCACTACGAGAACAAAGAGCGACTGGCCATTCACAGGAAAAACCTGAACGCCGCCTCGCAAAAACTGGACTCGTACGAGCAGGACACTGAGGAGGACAACGAAGAGGGAAAAAGCGTCAAGTGAGTTGAAATACCTTATAATTATTCCCGAAACAAATCAATCATCAAAGTAATCCTAGTGTAGAAAATGAAGTTTGCCACTTTGTGTTAACTTAAACTTTGTTTAATTTCACACTGTGCAAAATGGCTTTTCAAAATTAAAAAATATTTCTCAGGGGCAAGACTAAGCAGACAAAATCAAGTTTGGAGCAACCATTGGAACCTTTGGTGAACAAGAAGAAACTGCCGTTGTTGCTACCCGAGCAGCCCAAGAAGAAGAAGGAAAAGGCGCCGAGAGGAGGCACGCCGATGCTCTTCCAGCCACAACCGCTGACCAAAAGCAAGAAAATGACGCCGGTCAACTACAAAGGTAAGTTAAAATAATTTCTCTTAGCTGCTTTTTGTCATTTAAAATTTGCATCATTAGTATCAAAGGATTGACCAAAGAATACATTTTAATTTAATTCAAAATAAAAATTTTAAATGCGCGGAATGAACCATAAATTTTCAATTAATTTGATTTTTAGGTGTTCGTAGCTTGAAAAAAGTGTGCCAAATTGCATGTTTTTCATGAAACCAATTCAATGTAAATTACAAGTTTATGATTATTATTTTTTTTCTTCTCAAGTTTAATGTTCTAAAACATATTTTCCTCTCTTAAATATCCAATTTTTTACTTGTTTTATTTGATTTTAATGTGTTTTAATTTTAAATCTATTGCAGAAATTATTAGTACAGAAATAATCGTCATTGCCGAAGCTGATGGTAGTTAGATCTGTTGATTTATCTGTGATCCCCGTTGACTAATTTTTCATTCCCAATGCGTAGTTGCAGAGACGGCCGAGAAGATGCGACCTCAGACTCCACCGCCACCACCTCGTCCGGCCTCTTCTCCCGTCGAAACACCTGCTTGTCCGTCTCCACTGTACTCGACCGTGCTTTCGCCATTGGCCGACAGTTCACTCATCGATGCAAGCATGAAAAAGGAAATTCCGGGGCCCATTGGTTCTAAATGCTCAGCCAAATATCAACCGAACGGTCTTAACAATCACTGGAGTGGCACTGGCGAAATGAGGTAATTGCATTTTTTTTTTAAACTTTATTTAGAAAAAAATGCAATGTGTGAAATAATGTTTTTTTTTTCACATAAAACAGAAATCATTCAGAAATTAAATCTATTGTTATTCTTGCACGATTTTTTATTTTGTACATAAAAATATAATAAATTTCAAATTTTCAGCAATACTCGCTTGGTCATGCATGACATTTTCGAGCCAACATCGTTCCGCCAGCAGGACAATTTGGCATGGAGCTCGATGGAATCGCAGGACTCTTGGACTTCACTTCTGGCCGATCGGAGGCGCCGCGTCGAGCAGCACGAGAGCAGGTTCGCCTTCTCAAACGGGCCCAGCGAGGGCTCTTGGAACAACTGGAGCTTCGACCCACCATCACTCAACACGGTCACCTCACCCAACTCGTACAGCCAGCCTAGATCCGAGACCGAAAGCAAGAGCCTGTGGGCCTACAGCGGAAACGCCACCAGCGCATGGAACAACACTCCGGCTCAGCCGCCTCCGACACCGCCAGTCGAGGTAAATAAATCAAATTTATCAATTAACTTTTAAAATAATTTTTACTTAAAACTCATTTCATTTCTAGTTTAACCTGTTCGAGTCTCCAACCAACCTGTGGAGCATCCCGACCCAGCAACAGCCACAGTCACCGCCGCAGCCGCAACAACCGCAGACGCAGTCTTGGTTTGGAAGCGCCAACCACAATAATCAGGGCTAGAGGCGCCGCCAACGTTTTCTTTCTTTCCTCCCTCTTGTAATGCGTTTTCATAATCACAGGCTCAAATGATTGCTAGTCACAAGTGAGCTCTACCTTGGGGTCTTTTTTAAACAATCGACCGCAGGAAGAATTTTAGTCGTTAACTTCTAATTACCGCTCTGGCGTCCGGAGCGAGCTTTTGATCTGATTGTGTAGTCTCTCCTGACTAAAACAAAGCTTGTTGGCGTGTGTAAAAATTATCGAAAAAAAAAGCGATTGCTGGGAACCCGGGATATTTCAATATCGCTGCATCCGAGGGTGCTCGCTGGACCTGAAGTCAAACTTGCGGCTCGACATCTTAATTATTCATTATTTTCAGTCTATTTTTTTCCGTCAAAAATGTGTAATTACGAGAGAAAAATTGTAAGATTTGTACGTCGTTCCTTGAATCCATTCAGACTTTAGGTGTTAAGATGAAAATGACAAAATTGTTACTTTTTTAACAAGCGACTGATTTACTATTTTTTCATGAGTTAAGTAAATACTCTTTTTTTTCTTCTAATTATTGTCGCTGAAAGAAGCGCCCATGAGCTCGGTTGGGTTTTCGTCCAGCCCTCCCTTGTCCTCCCTAAATCATCCTTGATTGAGACTCCATGCACCATCCTATCTGGAAGTACAGAATAAAATCACTAGTGTCGTAGGCAGACCTCTCTCTTTTGCCCAATTGTTGTTTAGCACACTCTCCTCTCTCATTGGACGTTCGGCTGCACATCCATCAGTCGTATACCATCTTTTTATTCTCCATCGCGCAAAGAGAAGCGTCGATTCGATTTAAAAAAAAAAAGAAAATATAGTCATGTGTATAATAATTATTATTTGAATTTGTAAACCTGAAACAGGTCTCGCCTTTGATTTTACTGATTTTCTCTCATGCTGACCACCCCCGCTTGGTGGTGTTGTTGATTATTTTTTATTTTCAAACAAATGTCAAATGAATGTCGCCAAAGACAAATTTGTTTCCTATTTAATTTAATTTTTAGCCCGCTCAAAGTTGATTGTGTTTTGATGGATGTGTGAAAGCTGGGAGGGAAAATTGAATAAAATTTTACACCCAGAATGCAAACAGAACGCTCTCGACTTTTATTTATGCTCGCTTTTCCTCGTTATCGTCGACTAGCTAATTTTGCTCACCAGCTAATTAAAATTGCAATCCTTGGCAGCAAAACACAAAGTGGAGCACAAGCAGTCTGCTGAAAGAACCACGATGGAACGTCTACTGGGCCTGATTCTGCTTTCTTTGATAGCACTTAGCGTCCAGGACGCGGCCATCCACTGTCCAAATGTCAAACTGGCGTCACCATTTGACCTTAAACAGGTATTTTGGCTGGATGGGAAGGGAATTCATTAGACATAAATTTTTTGATACAAAATAGAAAAATTTTTAAAATCTGCTTTTCCTCGATGCGTTTTGTGAGTTGTTTATTGTTTAAGAAAAAATATCCTGCTCTACATGTTTCGGCTGCAGCCAGAATTCATGAGCTGTGAAATCATTTTGACAAGAATTAGTACATTTTTTTTTCAAAAAATAAATTTTTTTTAGATTTAACAATTTTCTGTGAAAAATGATTAAAATTAACTGGCGTTGGGTGGTCATGCTAAAAGGAAATCAAGAGTACTTCAAGTAACGTCAAATTTAAAAATATTCGTCATAGAGGTAATTTTTAAAAATGAAAGGATTGGATTTCACTTCCGGGTTTTTTTTCCCGGGGTTGAAATTTAATCCTTTCATTTTTTAAAATTTCGTCTTTAAAGATTTATTTTAAATATAGAGGTTATTTTTAAAAATGAAAGGATTGGATTTCACTTCCGGATTTTTTTCCGGGGTTGAAATTTAATCCTTTCATTTTTAAAAATTTCGTCTATGAAGTTTATTTTAAATATAACGTCACTGGCGTTGGTTGGTCTTGCTATAAGAAAATCACAAGTACTTCAAGTAACGTCAGATTTAAAAATATTATCATGGAGGTTATTTTTAAAAATGAAAGGATTGGATTTCACTTCCGGATTTTTTTTCCCGGGGTTGAAATTTAATCCTTTCAATTTTTAAAATTTCGTCTTTAAAGATTTATTTTAAATATAGAGGTTATTTTTAAAAATGAAAGGATTGGATTTCACTTCCGGATTTTTTTTCCCGGGGTTGAAATTTAATCCTTTCAATTTTTAAAATTTCGTCTTTAAAGATTTATTTTAAATATAGAGGTTATTTTTAAAAATGAAAGGATTGGATTTCACTTCCGGATTTTTTTTCCGGGGTTGAAATTTAATCCTTTCATTTTTTAAAATTTCGTCTTTAAAGATTTATTTTAAATATAGAGGTTATTTTTAAAAATGAAAGGATTGGATTTCACTTCCGAATTTTTTTACCGGGGTTGAAATTTAATCCTTTCATTTTTAAAAATTTCGTCTATGAAGTTTTTTTTTAAATATAACGTCACTGGCGTTGGTTGGTCTTGCTATAAGAAAATCAAGAGTACTTCAAGTAACGTCAGATTTAAAAATATTGTCATAGAAGTTATTTTTAAAAATGAAAGGATTGGATTTCACTTCTGGAATTTTTTTCCGTGGTTGAAATTTAATCCTTTCATTTTTAAAAATTTCGTCTATGAAGTTTTTTTTAAATATAACGTCACTGGCGTTGGGTGGTCCTGCTATAAGAAAATCAAGAGTACTTCAAGTAACGTCAGATTTAAAAATATTCGTCATAGAAGTTATTTTTAAAAATGAAAGGATTGGATTTCACTTCCGGATTTTTTTTCCCGGGGTTGAAATTTAATCCTTTCAATTTTTAAAATTTCGTCTTTAAAGATTTATTTTAAATATAGAGGTTATTTTTAAAAATGAAAGGATTGGATTTCACTTCCGGATTTTTTTCCCCGGGGTTGAAATTTAATCCTTTCATTTTTAAAAATTTCGTCTTTAAAGATTTATTTTAAATATAGAGGTTATTTTAAAAAATGAAAGGATTGGATTTCACTTCCGGATTTTTTTTCCCGGGGTTGAAATTTAATCCTTTCAATTTTTAAAATTTCGTCTTTAAAGATTTATTTTAAATATAGAGGTTATTTTAAAAAATGAAAGGATTGGATTTCACTTCCGGATTTTTTTTCCCGGGGTTGAAATTTAATCCTTTCAATTTTTAAAATTTCGTCTTTAAAGATTTATTTTAAATATAGAGGTTATTTTTAAAAATGAAAGGATTGGATTTCACTTCTGGATTTTTTTTCCGGGGTTGAAATTTAATCCTTTCATTTTTAAAAATTTTGTCTAGGTAGTTTTTTTTAAATATAACGTCACTGGCGTTGGGTGGTCCTGCTATAATAAAATCAAGAGTTCCACGAAACCATTTTTATCACAAATTTTGAAATTTATATTCAAAATGAATATATTTTTTTAAGCAAATTAATTTTACGATAATTTTTTTGGTCAGATTAATTAAACGTGTGTTTTGAGCGAGCCTTTCTCGGTGTTGGTCAAACAAATATCAATATTTCTGACCAAAAATTATTATAAAAAAAAATTAAAATTTGTTTTCAAAATATATTTTTTTTAATTCAATGCCAAAATTTGTGTTGAAAAGTGTGTAAAGATGTAAATTTAAATAATTTTTCACGGAAAATTGTTGCTTTGAATGAATAAAAAGTTTTTGAAAAAAGATTGATTTTTGCACTAGTTCTTGTCAAAATGATTTCACAGCACACGAATTATGGCTGCAACCAAAAAATATAGAGCAGGGTATTGTTTTTTCATTAAAACCACACAAAACCAACCAGGGAAAGCCGACTTTAAATTGAAATCACCAAAAAAAGATTAATAATTGAATTTACGTAGTTTTTGGGAACGTGGTACCAAATTGCTCGTCTCCACACGTTCGACCCGAACCTGGGAAGCAGCGGATTGACTCTCAGACCGAAGCTGTCGTCCTGCGTCCGACTCACATTTTCGCTGATGGACGACGGGAATCTTCGCGTAGAGCGCACAGGTCTCGACCAAAACAACAAAACAGTCACTCAGGTCGGCATTGCAGAGCAGAATCAAAATGAGCATGCGAGATTTTTCTTCAAGTACTCAGGTTAGAAAATATATTTTGTTCATCATGAATCATACAAGACCAAAAAGATTTTTATTTTTTAAAGTCAGGCTGGCCAAGACAAAAACTTGTCGACCTGTGTCTTTATTACTCGTGCAGAAGGCACCGCTCAATTTTTTTTAGTTGCAAATTGTGTTTATTGATCTATCACAAAGGCAATTGCTGCCCATAACGGCAATTTTTAATTTATATTTATATAATTTTTTTTTTTAATTTTATTAAAAATCATCAGTTTTTGCTGGAATATTTCTTATGATAACAAACAAATTTGAAAACTAACAAAGAGAGTAAAAGATTAAGGAATTATAAGGATTTGGGTTGGGAACGAAGGTCATATTTTGATATTTTCAGTGTTTAAAGGATTTTGCGTGTTTAAAACTATAAGATCATTTTTATTTTCGTGAAATAGCCGCAACCGAGGAGGAACTAGGGGTTGTTGAAATCGTTTACACCGAGCACGCTCTCCTGTACGGTTGTTACCTGACCCGGACAGGACACATCAAGCAAGACGCTTGGATTTTAGGGTGAGAAAAAAATTATCCTTCAATAACGAAAAACAAATAATAATTTCTTAAATTTCAACATGCAATCTTTTTGATTTTAAATAATTAATTTTCTGTCTCCAGTCGTGAGCCTCAATTGCCGACCGTGACCGTCGACATCCTCCAAGGAACATTGCGCAGCAGACACGTCAACGTGAATAACTTCAGATCGGTTAGCCAGGAGGAATTTTGCAAACAAACCATTCCCGACAACTCCACCTTGACTATCGACGAACATCTTTGATTTTTTATTTGCTCGACGAGATGTGAGGATTTTGTTGCAAATGAAAATTCTTAGGCGTTTTTCTTACTTTGTAACTTACAAGTATTTTAAATTTTTATTCTCTACAAAGCAAATGTTTCATGGTGTGTTTTGTTTGTCTCTTGTATAGTAAATTCACAGAACGTAGAAAATTATAGAATACATTAACTTGCACTCTTGTACACGAGACTTTTTTTATATTATTCTGATTATTCTCAAAAACCTCAATTTCTTCCGAACGGAAAAAAAATTCAGTGATCGCTACGGCAACTTTCCTATAGCTGCAAAAATTACACTCGAGATTTATTTCCTTCAAATTTTTGGTTGTACACATAATTAAAAATGTAGTAATTAATATCGCGCTCAATATACACAATAATATAATCGTATTGTTACATGAACGTTAGGCATAGTACGTATACAGTATATAAGAAGTAGTCAATCATCATGTTTTGTCATGTAAAAAATTATTTTCATACACTTATCACAGATAGTTATGCGCAAAGAAATCTGTGGAAAAGCAAAATAATCCATGCTGACGAGTATGCGGATTTTTTCCCTCGACAAGGAAACAAATTAAAAATTACAAACTCTGAGCACTGGAAAATCCGCAGCACCAAAATATGGAGGTAGCAATTTTTCACACACGTGTGTTGTTTGCGCCTTGGTTTTCCATGCAAAATCAAACATATTTCGTCGATATAATGTAATAATAATTTTTGTGTATTTGCAAAGCTGGAAAAATGATCAGTCCTACGCTTTATTCAATTTTATATTGATAATCAATGAGAGTTATTTTTACTTTTTACTGCAAACTGTACAGACCTACCAACTAGATTTGACCACGAGAACAATGAAATTGCTTTGTAGTTTTTAGCCGCTACTTTTCTTTCTTCTTGCAGAAAAAGAGACTTGTTCAAACTTTATTTTTTCTTTTTAATTACGCTTAAAATCGAAGAAATTATTTGCAAGGGCGATTCGCACCCTTCAGCCTGCCAATCAAAATATGAACAATTTTCAAATTTGGTCTGTACGCTGAGCATGGAACCATGCCTTGCAAAATAATTGAAGCGCTAATATTTTAATTATTTGCATAAAAACGCGGGTTCGAAAAATCTTAAATTTTGTCTTCAGCAGCGTATACTCTTTGATCGTATTGATTTCCTCGTTTTTCTTTTCAAGGAATCAGGCTCGGAAGTTGGCACAGTATTTTTTATTTATAAATGCTCAAATTTTAAGAAGTGGAAATCCTCAGTTCGGAGGAAGACCAGATCATTTAAGTTTTAATGTCAATTATTTACAAAAATTCTGGAGAACGGTTTTGTAATATTACGTTTGATGGCTATGATATTCAAATCAATTTCCTAAATAATTCTCACTATGAAAAAATCTAAAAAATATCACCTGAATTATTTTAAAACCAAAAACAATTAATAAAAATTTCATGCAGATCAGAATATTGATAAAATTTAAAATCAATAATAATAATAATAAGCGGCGGCAACAACTATGTTGAGGGATACCAATTTTTCTTTTTTTCAATTTGAAATCTTCTCATATCATGTTTCCTCTTCTTTACATCTAAGAATATTCAAGCGATTTGTAAGTTACAAGCAGGATTTTTCTCTCGCGCGACGTTTGGGAATATTTTCAAACAAATTTGTTCAAATCCCCAAATAAGATTCCCACTGGTAAAAATATCAATATTTTCCATCGTCTGCCTTTTAATTAATATTTGCAAGATTTGAGCTTTCACAAAAACGTATACACAAAAAGGAACTGGTTTTTCATTCCAAAATTCCAAGCGTCTCAAGGCGCAAGTTCGAACATTTTCACTCCTGACTTCTTGTATGCAAATATATATATTTTTTAATTTTCCAAGGAAAGAAAAAATTGAACTTGCCTCCTGGTTAAGACTGCATCAAAATTATTTCATGGCTTCTCTGAATATCACTAAATTCTATTCAACAGAAACAAACACTATTTCTGTTGCTTTCAAATGGTAAAAAACAAAGCCACATACGTGCTTGTTTTACAAATATCGTATACTTTGAGGACTCTGAACGTAAATTTCTATTTTTTCCATGACGAGACGTCAATTGAGTTCAATTTGTTGAAGAGATGCGTCGAATGAGATTTTTTTACTTTTTGCTGGAAGAATTAAGTCAATTTAATCTTGAGAGACTGAAAAAACAACTTATGAGGATTAACTGGACTGGAAAAAAATTACAAAATTTTCACGGACGTTAAATTCCACTTCTTTGGACAACAAAAATCAACTTAATTAATTAAAAAAACCAACTTTAAAGACACAAAACTGCTTCCAGCACATTTGAAAGGGCGCGACTCGCTTCAACATGTTGCGTTTTTCTTCTTCTCACAATTACAAATTTAAATGCTACACTCTAGTTTGTGAATAGCGTGGTGTATAATTTTTTTTTTAAGTTTGAATTTACGTATACAGGTTATTTAGGAAGAGCACAAAATGTCGAAAAAACCCTTATTCTTTCGACTGCAGGTTGTGTTGTTGGAAATAATTGCACTGACGGCGACAAAATCAGCGTCCGCATTTTCAAACCCACCCCCCTCCCCCCGAATTTTCCGGTCCGTCCGTCCGTCTAGGTTGCTATGCTTTTGTGACTTGAGCTACGGCAGTTAGGATATGGCTACAGCGCGCGCCGTTACCATGGCACACTCGATCGAGATCTAACATTGCATGCGCGACAGACACTCACTGGAAGAAGGGGTGTCATTGCTGCAGGTTGCTGCCGCCGCCCGGGGTCGTCGGCTTGGATTCGTCGTCGCTCGAACCCTCGTCGCCACTCTCCTCCTCGCTGTCCTCTTCGCTTTCGTCATCACTGCTGAGTGGTGTTGTTGAGCTGATCACCGACGACTCTAAAACAGGAATTGCATTTATTTACTTATTGTCATTTACTTTTAAGTATAAGTCATTTCTCACTCTCATCCATTACTTTCCACCTCCCATTTCAGCTCATTCTCTGATACGAAACACTCCATCTCTAATTTTTGTTAAATTCGTATAATTTCTTTTACATCAAGAAAGAACAAATTCAAAATGTCCAATCAGCTGCATTTGGACTTTTGTTTACTTTTTGTGATAAATGAATTAATTGAAAATTCACGTTGATTTATTTAGTGTGAAACAAAATTAGGATATTTTCAATAATAAATTATTTTTGCAGGAAAATGGAGTTTAATTTTTTTTTCTCAAGAGTTAAATAAAAACTCTTTAAATATTATGATTGTCTCACCTGAGACTTGCATGTTTCCGTTCAGTCCAAGCTGCGGCTGCAAACTGGCAATTGAGTCTGGCCAAAATCTCTGTGCAGCCTGCTTGGAGCCGCCGCCGGTGCTGTTCTTGGATTTTTTGGTTTTATGTCCCGAGACGACCGTGTCTGTCGGCGTTGACGCGTCCAACATTGGCTGCAGGATCCGGCGCCGCGCGTTTATGAACCAGTTGTTGACCTGCAGCAGTGTCAAGTTTGTTTGCGCCGCGATCTGCCTCTTTTCGTCCTCAGTGGGGTACGGATGCTGTAACGGATGGGTCTATTTGAAATTTTGTCTGGTCTGTTATTCCTTCTCAGTTTCAATAATCTAACTAAATAGGGATTTTGCTTTTTCAAGCAAACGAATGGCAAATCAGTTGATTTAAAACGATCATCTTAGAGAGGTTCAGAACAAATTATAAAAGTTGAAGGTTTTTGTTTTTACCACTAGGTGCTGGAAGAGCCAAGAGCGCATGATGGACGTGGCATGCTTGGGCAGGACGCCTCGCTTCGGTTTTTTGCTTTTTCCGCTTCCGACGCCAAGAAAACTGTCGTCTTCTTCATCCATCGAGCCAGGCGAGGTTGGAGCAGGTGAAAGAGAATCTGAAAAATTTAACAAAGCATAAGTTTTTTGTAAAATTAAATAATCAGAAACTTTTTTCTATTTGATGCTTCATTTAATAAAAAGATAAACCACAAAAAATAAAAGCTGATGAAATTGATAAAATCCTTTGGCCGACAAGACTCTGACAAAATAAATCTCTAATAAATTTTGTGTTTGAAAACTCAATCGATTTAGGATGAAGAGTTTGACAAACTGACTTTGAAGTAGGGAGCTGTCTGAAGGCGGCGCGCAGGCCGTGGCGCCAATTTGCGAAAGAGGTGTGCTGCCGTGTACAATGCCCGGGGACGCAGGCACTGAAGACGAACTGGACGAGCCAGACATGAGCGGTGCCCCTTGGTGCATCGGTGGGGGTGAAACTGAGGGCAGAGGGTGTGTGGCCATTTGGTAGGCAAGTTGAGCCGCCGAAGAAGAAGCCGCCGCGCTCTGGTGGTAGTGGCTCAGGTTCATGTTCTATTTTTTTTAATTAAATTTTATTTTAGAATTTAAATTTATCCAGACTGATTTACTTGATGATGCGGATGGTAATTGTGGAGCATTGGAGGTGGCGGGCTGCCTGCTGACGAGGAACTGTTGTTGTTGGTGCTGCCGGGCAGATTGTTGTTGTCAAACGCGTAGTCCGAGCGGAGCAAATTCTCGCTCTGCATCTTTCCCTTCAGGCATGTGATATACCGATTGCAGAAGTCTTTGCAAAGCTCCTGCACCTTTTCCAGCTCCAAAAGGTGGATTCTTAGCACTTGTATGGCCTTGATCATCTGCAATTAAGGGTAGCCATATTATTTCTTTTCTATTTTTTATATAGATTTTAAAATTACAGGTCATTGGATTAAAATGCAATTGAATTTTAAATTTTAAGAATTATAGCAAAAACAAAATCTAAAAAAAGGAAATGAGGATTGTGTTGCACCACATAAAAGATGAGATTATTGTGATTTTCTTTTTATTAAAAAAACCCCTTCAAATCAGCTGTCAGATTTTGTACTGTGCAAACAATGCATAATCTTTTTCCTAAATTTAAATTCTTTTATTCTTGGTTATTTAGTTCTCCAAAATTTGTTACAAAAGTTGGATAAATTAATTGTCATGTGAGAAACATGTTGGGAATGGGCAGAATTGGTATCACAACTAGCAAAAAAGTGGTATTGAAAAATATATTTCATAAGGTTAGAACCAATTTGATGTGAGATGGAAAAAAATTAAAGTTTGTAAATTAGCAAATTTTTTATCTCAACGATCAAACTAAATATTTATAGTTTTTGCAAATTCCAGAATAGGATGAGGGGGATGCTATTATTATTATTACTGACCAGTCCATCGATCTCTGGATCATTGACAAGAAATGGCTTTCTGTCCCGCTCCTGGTGCTGCACAAACGCCTGGATGTCCATGTTGAAGTTCTCCGAGTTTGGGCTCTCGGCTGACTGTGTCGCCTGCTCGCATCTTTCAAATAAAAGGGCCAGCAAGGGAAACAAGGGGTGTCTATTGGAAGAATATATGATTGCATTATTTTACTGTCGAATGGAAAAAAATTATAAACTAACTTGTACACGGCTCGTTTGTCGGCCTCAAATATGGCCTGGTCTTGATCGAATTCGGGCCCTGAGGTGGCCGGCGCCTGGATGTTGGCCCCGCCGCTCTGCATGTTGCCTTGTGAAGGAGGAGGTTGAGGGTCGTAGCCTTTTTTCAAAATGATTGAAAACCATCAATAGCGTTTATATGAAAAGAGTAAATATATATTTTAATGTTATTTTTTTAGTAGTTTTTATTGATTTTTGTAACTAATTGAGGGTATAAAAAAACTTGGAAAGTTTTGAATTCCCCTCAAAGGTTACGACAAGAATATATGAGCGTTTAATTTTTTTGCCACCAGTTGAGCTTTTGTTGCAATAAAAAACCGATTCCAATTGAATTTAGTACGTGAGATTTTGAGAATTAGAAAATATCAAGAAAGCAAACTCCACTTTGTTTAGTTTTTTACTCCTGCATAAATAATTTGAATGTTAGGCGGCTCCAACTTTATAGTTTTTACCGTGAATCTCTAGACGATTTTTGTTATTTTTTGCAATCACAAATAATTATTCTCCGCGCAACCAATAATTAGCTGCAGTACAAATACTTTATACCTTTCACAAAAATAGAGGAATCATCAGCAAACAAAATCAGAGCCGCAATAGTACAACTTTAATGGAAAAAAATAAATAATTTAGTTTTCTTGTATTTTTGCTAAACAAATTATTTTTATTGCGGTTGTACTGCTATTTTAATAGTAATTATCGCTTCATCGTTTGCATTTTTTAAATCCCTGCATGGACGTTTTTTGTGTTTTAATGAAGAAAAATCATCTCCTAAAATCTTATGCTATAGTCTTTTGGAATATCTGAGAAATGCATGTTAAAAGCCGCATCTCAAAAACTTTTTAGAAGGCGTTTTATTTTTTATCGTAAAAAAAAATTACAAAGTTTGCTGTGAGTGAAAGAATCAGAAAGTAAAATTGAGTATCAACATATTTTCATCAAACAAATCGCTGGAATTACCGACCAACCCCGCCTTCAAAAAAAGTTTGTATTATTTAATTTATCTAATTTTCCATTAAGATTTTTTTAAAGATTCTATTACAACAAAATATAGTTGTCTCAAACTGTTTCGTCTCAAATAATGTCAATATTTTGTACCTGCTGGCGTAACCATGGCAACCACCGAATCTTGCTGCATCAGTCCACAATCGTTTTGCTAATCTCGATGCAATATCACGGGTAAGTCAGTCATCACTGGCACTGCCTGCAATCAAGGGAAAGAAGGACAAATTAGCTGCTACCAAACTGCTCACAAACACTGCATCGTTCTTTTTAATTAGTTGGGCACCTCAAGGGAAGTCATTGCGCCACTTTTTGTATTGCCGGACGGGGAGAAGGCAAAATTAATCCTGACTGCGCTGGTCAGGCGCGTTCACGGAAATTTCAACACTTTGTGGGGAAAATCGTCTGTTTTTAGGAAAGCACGTCACGCTCGGCAGCGGAGCCAACGTAGCGTTTGCCGCTTCCGTTTCGCATAAATTTTTATCGCGCCTGCTGGGAAAATCAGAAAAATCCACTCGTGAGTGCCGAGCGTGAAATTAAGTAATTATACGGTCAGTACTAAATAAATTGGGTCATGATCAATCTCAATTTTTGAATAAGAATCCCAGCAAAAGACGGGAATTTTGGGATTCATTGATCATAAGTAGTTAATAATTTCTTTTTTATAACTAGCAAGAATTTTGCTAAAACTTCCAAGATCCAAAAAACCCCATCTGCCAAAACGAGGGGATTATTATTCTTATAAAGATTTGCGTTGACATTTTAAATTTTGAGGCTGTTTTTCTACTTCAACAGCTCTGCTTGCCATCATTATGCCTGTTATGTAACGCTGGGTTTGCCAGGGAAGTGGGAATAATTTAATGAATTTAATTTTATAATTATTATTTTTGTTGGAAGAAATTTACAATCGAGAAGATGATCATGGATGTGAAGAACTTGAGCTTTTTCCTCTTGTTTATAATCAAAATACATATAAGATGGCTCAACCAGTATCGGTCACGGTCTGCAATCCTATTTCATGAGCAAGGAAAAAAAAATCAGCTAAAATTAAAAACCACGTTTTGAAAAAGAAAATGGTTAAAATGTGGTGTTTCTCAATTTTGCTGATTTTTTTTATATGTCTCGTTCATGAAATTTGTGACCAAAACTGGTCAAGCCGTTTGGTTTTTTCATTAAGAGCTATTTTTTTTACAACAAGGAAAAAGCCGGAGTTCTTCACTTCCATTAACTTTATTGCAACGCTTTTATTATGGCGTCATATTAAAAAAAGTAAGTTCGGACCTAATTCGCCAATTTTAAACAATTTGTTAAAAGGAAGATAAAAATTGAGTTACAGTAAGAAGAAGATGACTTAAAAAATTTTAAACTTTTTAAAATTACCAAAAAATATATATTTTCAAATAAGTAAATGAAAAAAAAAGATATTGAAATAGCGTGGATTTTTGCAGTTTTAATTATCACCCTGGATGACCCTGGAATATGAAAGTTGCAAAGCAATATTTTGGAAAAAGGGCGAGATCAATGTTTGGAGCGACTGACGGTGGGGCTGGCGAGAGAAAGCAGCTTTCTTCTCGCTTCTTCTTCTTCTACTTGTGCCGCTCTTATACATTATAGACAACATGGAGCGCAGGCAGGCAGGCAGGCATCAGTATTCCGGGGGTATCAAGGGGGTACCATAAGTACATAGGGAGATATTTCTCGTGCGGGCCATTATTCGCAAATGCTACCCCGCGCGCTATACTGGGAAGTCAGCATGTTCGCCCGCCCGGCCCGCCCGCCCGTTCTCTCTCTCGCTCGCTCAGAGGATATTATATGAAAAAGTGCAATAATTGCTTGAATCTCGCTGCCGCTGCTTTTTTTCTAATAAAGGCAACGTGCGTTGCTGCCGCAAGCTGCACCATTCTTCCTTCCTTCTTGCTTCTGTGTGTAATAACAGGTGCCCGCACTGGACGGGACATTTCGCCGCGCTTATATGAAAAGAGATTTAATAAAGTTAACTTTTTTCTCGCCGCGGCAATATTATGTGGCGCGTGAGGCCGGCCGGCCGGCCACTCTAATACATCACCAACTTACTGTGCGCTCAAATAACAATGAAAAAGATCTCTCCAATGCGCGCCAACGCTTTTTCTCGGCATCGTCGACCGACCCATGGTTTTACTGCTTGTAAATTCGCCATAAACGAAATGGAGATTTGGCACTTTTTGCGGTTGACATGCGAAGAAGAAGCGATTTTTCCGCAGACCAAACTTTCGCAGGCAAACATCTCTTTGATTAGCATTTTATATCGTTTCTCTCTGACAATCAGTTTGGTTTTATCACGATCAGTTGAAGAAAAAAAAACACGACTTTGGAAAGCGCTTTTTTCCATATTAAAACACGCTTTCTCAGCCCAATAGGCGAGATTTGTGTCAAATCCGTTGAAACTGTATCGATATTTTTTTGTAAAACTTGCGATGCTCGGCCAAGAGTAGAGTGATAAATTTCTGCTCAGCAATAATCTTCCTTTTCGATTCTTTTTAATTATTAATTCAATCAGCAATCATAAAAATGATATTCCTTTGTTTATTTGTCAAATTGTTACAATCATAATTTTTGTAATAAATAATAATTATTATTATTTTATTTAATATTTAATCAATTATGAGGAAACAATTTATTTGAAGAAAAGAAATTGTAGGTCAAAATAAACACAATAAATTGTTCGAACAATTGAATGTAAACAATGTGATGCACGATGTAACAATTTGGACAAATAAACAACAGTGACGACTTTTAACACCAGAAAAGAAGAAAATTTGAGTGATTGAAAATAAACAAATACCAGATTAGTATGTATTGGAGCTTTCCTTCCGCAAGCTCAAAAAAGGGCCAGCAAAACACTTTGTCTTGGTCTGACCCAAAAAAGAAAATAAAATGTGTTTTTTGACGGCGCTCCTGGTGATGTGTGTTTTATTTTAAATTTCTTGCATTCGCGTATTAAGAAAAATAACGCCGCAAATATAGCATTTTAATGATAAAATCACAGGCGCCTGCTGCATTTCAACATAGGCAACCTGCTTGACGCCGTCAACATTTTTCTCCTCCTCGGCAAACTAATCGTCGGAAAAGTGGAGTGTTTTTTCAGCGAACCCGTTTCAGTTTCCTTTGCTGCCTTTTGTCGTTGGACGTATTCTCTGTCAGTACTTTTTTTCCTCCACGCAAATCTGCTCTCTCGCTCGCCGTGATCCCCCACGGGACCTAGTAACTCTGAAATGCCTGCGCTGCGTGCTCTTTTGTCTCTCCCAAGTCGGCTGGAGCAACCCTCGTTGTTTGAATGGATACAATACATACTCACTCCGCCAGATAAGATTATGTAATCAAAATGCATCTCGTCCTCTATGTGTGCGGCGCGCTGCCTGCCTCTGCGCTTGCTCTTTTTTCGCTTCCGCTACTACTTCGGGTCCGCACAAAATTGACCAGGAAAAATAAATTACTTCAAAAGCTCTTTCTCTCTCTGGTCCATTTCCTTTCAAGCTGACTTAAGCGCGTTTCTCGCCGCTGATGTTTGGTGAAACAAACGCCGCAAATTCGATTACGCACCTCTCTCGCTCTCCGTTTCAAACTGACGCCGCCCTTTTGCTCCCAGTTGACATTTTGGTTAAAATTGGACCGACCTGAACGAAAAGCAGGCAGAGAGAAGATTGGCGGAATTTTTTTCAAAGTTTGACGGGAAAAAACTGGGCTATTCCATTGATGAAAGTCCAAAATTTAGCTACTGTTTATTTTGTTAATTATTTCGAATACTTTTTATAAATTCTCAAAGTAATTTCATTTTTAATGTACAGAATGAAATGTATCCAAAAGCATTCAAGAGGTTAAATAGTAATTTGGAGAAAAAACATGGCGAATTATTAAGTATAAAAATAAATTAACTTTTATTAAATTTAAGAGTTTTTATTGTAGCAGAATTTCATGATCGAGGGTTGATTCATGGTGATTTGAATTTAAAGTTGGCTTTTCCTCAATCGGTTTTGTGAGTTGTTTATTATTAAGAAGAAAAACAATATCCTGCTCTTCATGTTTTGGTTGCGGGCAGACCAAAATTATTATAAAAATTGGTTTGTTTGAAAAAAAATTTGAAATTCAATGTAAAACATTGTGTTTAAAAATTGTTTTGTGAAAAAAAATGTAATCTTTGAATGATTTTTAACGAAAAAGTGTTACTACGAAAGAAAAATATGTTTAAATGATTGATTTTTGTACTAATTCTTGTCAAAATGATTTCACAGCTACTGAATTATGGCTGCAGCCTGCAGCCAAAACATGTAAAGCAGCAGAATATTGTTCTTCTTAAACAATAAGCAACTTTCAAAACCCATCGAGGAAAAGCCGATTTTAAATTCAAATCACCATGGAGTTTTTTTTATTTGTAAAAATCTTTCTGTTTTCATATACCCCGCCCTATATTGAAGAATATTATTATATTTACACCAATTAATCTTCTTAATTAGTTTAGAGACGGCTTCCTAACATTTTTTTCCAACATATTTTCAATATTGCGGGGTTTATGGGCGCTTTTGGAAACATAAAATTGGCTTCTTGTGGTCGTTATTGGTGACCTTTAATTTTAAGACTTGTTAAAAAACACACACAAAAATTAATACATAATTATTTGTTTAAATTGAATATATTGATTTGGAATTGAAATTAAAATTTGAAAACCAGCCAACCATTTGTAATTAATTCTTAAAAAATCAATTCACAAATTTAAATTAATTCATTTAATTTTTCTTCAAACAAATTAAAACGGTGATTAAAAAAAATGTTGCTTGAAAAATAGGCAATTTAACTCACTCTATTTGAATAATTGCCTCACCGCATTGCAAGGGAAAAAACAAACTTGGAGTTTGGACGCAGGACAAATAATTACATATTTTTTTAAATGTGAAAGTGAATTTCCATCATGAGCGGGCAGACCGACATTTTGGCGTTTCTCAAACAGTTTAGCTTGCGCGACAAGTTTTGCAATTTGGAGTGGATGGTGCGCTGCTGGTGTTGCAGGAAAGCGAAAGAAAAGTGGCGCAACAACAAAGGGCGGCGGCGGCGGCGCTGCTCGCTCACTTCTCCGTCCTTCTTAATACACCTGCCTGCCAGAGCTCATTAAAAAAGTAACAAGTTCTGAAACTTTTTCCGCTGCCATAACCATTCCGGCCAAGATGAGAT